AGTCTTAAATTATTTAATTAAAAGTCTTATAAATATTGTGGTCTGTTTTGAGTCAACCATCAATTTTCATTAAGCTCATCACATTCTCGATTTAAGTTTGATAATCTAAGCTGTGATTTCGTTAGAGATTTTAATTTACACGTTATAAAAACCAGAATAATTTCTTGTGTTTGTATGACATTTTAAATTCAACTGTATATTTTTTCCAAGTGTATTCTGTTTTTCAACAGAGCAATCTAAAAACAGCTTTAGAGCAGTAGGAGCATTCACATAGGTTTTAATGCCCCACACAGGGCCTCTTTGCTGCTCTTGTTTGTAACTCCGAATGACTTCAGTTTTTTTTTTTTCATGTTGAACGCATGTCGTTGTGCATGTTGTTGATGTTGTCGCAGTTGTTCTTGTTGTTGTTGGTATTGTTGGTGTTGGTGTTGTTGTCGCTGCTGTTGCCTGTCCTATGTAGGTCACTTCTTGCCTTCTTAACTCATTTGAATTGCACGTCAACAATTCGAAAAACAAAGCCAGAAACTTTTGTCATTTGCTCAACTACAATAACAGCAACAACAACAACAACTATCAGAGTAGCAGCAACAACAACAACAACAACAATAATCAGAGCAGCAGCAAACCAACCAACAACAACAACTCGACAGACGAGTGCTTTTACAGAGAACCAGGCAGCTTTGTGTGACTTTGTCGCATAAAGCCGCTTAGAGATTTGTTTGGTTTGGTTTTGTTTTTGTAATTGCAAACGCATAAAAATTTGGTATTTGTTGTGCTGAATGTTCCAGCTGCTTAAACGACAAACATGTTATGAGATCTGTTTTTGAAGTTGCTACAAAATCACAAATAATTGCTTTATTTTGTGTGTTACACAAATGTACGAATGTTACAAATGTTTTTAACAATGTTAGTTCAATAAAGAACCTATTATTGACTGTAGATATTTATTTTTAATTTTTGTTTTATTTTTTCTTTGAATAAACAACATATTCCTGCCTGTGGGATTTTCTTGTGCTTTGTGTACGAAATGCTTTAAGTCTCATAAAGCATTTAACTGTTGGAATTTTAATTCTTTTTCCAAGCTATTGGTTTCTTTTGAATTGCACAGCACAATACAGACCATGTTCTTAATAGTTTTCCATTTATTTTTTTCTCATAAAAATTATACAGAAAATATACAGCTGAGTTTACCACCAAAAAACTTTCAGTACCATAAATATCTACTCTTGTCAAAGGAATTTATGAAGTGAAAGACCTCAAAATTGCATAATATTTTTGAAGTTAACAAAAGTTATTATGCGTTTTGGCTATAGAAAAGTTCATTTTCATTTCCCTCTTGGCCACGAAAAGTGGTAATTAATATTACTGAAGGAAATCATTGAAGTGGAATAATATTCCATTCGCATTCCCATTTTAGCCGGCAAAATGGCAAGCTGAAAGGTTCTCAACTAATTTACTTTGCGTATTTCCGCAGTCATAATTTTTTTTAGTGTTGCTTTTTTTTCTCTTATTTTTATTTTTGTTTTCGTTAGTGGGATCAGCTAGCAAGTTTATGTCCATTAAACTTCCGCCACAATTTGCGCTTTATTTTTTGGGGGTTCAAACTTAGCTCCACTGTCGCTGCGGTCGCTGCTCTGGCCAGAGCTGGCCGGAAAGTTGATGCTTTTGTATTTCCGTCGAAACTAGCTCAAAAGGGCTTTTTGCGCTGCCACTTCTTGTTCTTGGGCTTGGTCGTCTGCTCCTGCTGCTCCTGCTGCTCTTGCTGCTGCAGCGGATGTTTTACTTGTGGCGGAAAAGTGCAATTTCAAAATGTGTACAGCGTCGCTGGCAACGGCTGAGTCCTTTATGCACAGCTCAGTGTCCTGAGTCCTTTACAAAGCAATGCTAAGAAAATGAGCAAGTCCAACTTTTTGGCAGCCAAAAAGCGGGCTTAAACATTTTTAAGCACAGCCAGACAACTTTGATGGAGAAGAAATATAGCAACAACAACAACACCAGCTGCAGCTGAGCACTCATCAATTTGCATAAGTTGGGCAAAAATGAGGGCGCAGCTGGCTTAAGTCATTCAAAGACTGACGCTAATATTGTTGACCTCGATTGCAGCGCGTCTTTATTCTTGCCACTTGCGCATTATTCGCACTTTTATAATCATTGCGCGTCCGCTTGGCTGTCATACTACCAATTGATTTGACCACAAAAGCTCTGGCAGATCTTTTTCCTTTTTTTTTGTTTTCTTTTTATTCTTGCGCACAATTACACCGTCCAGTTTTTGCCATGCATAATTTATGAAGACAGCGAACACAACAACAATGGAAAACCGCCAATAAGGCGAGCCATTTGTATGCAGCACTCAACGGTGTAGCGGAAAAAGCAATTGAGTTACTAATTACTTTGCGTTAGCCCTAATCGCCGCCTGGCTCTAGCTGGCCAGGCTAAAAGCAGATCCACTCCTTTGGGCTGTCCATTAAAAGTGAACCAAATGTTTCAAGTGCTGCCATAAACAATTAAATATTTACGCAGCGACAGCAGCAGCAACAGCAGCAGCAGCAGCTGCTTTTACTCATTCTGCTCCAGTCATCCTTTCAATTGCCCTGCAGATAAAGGTCAAGGCTGCGGTGTAAGCAGCCCACAGCACCCAGCCCCCAGCCCCCGCCTCCGATCCCACCTCCACACAGTGGCCCTTGGGCTCATTTGACTAAGCCTTAGCTGCGTTAATTGGCGCCTTTTGTTTTGGCCCTTCCCCAAGTTAGCTAATGGCCGTAAACTGTTGTTACAGCCAACAACCCAACCGGGCAGCAGCAGCGCGCTTAGTGTTTGAAGTGCGATTGAGAATTTGTGAGCAGCACGCGAGGAAAATTGTGCTTGGCTGCGAGAGTAATCTGCAAACGTGGTAAGAGTAAACACCTTGCCGCGGGCTATCTAAATTCTATTGCAACTGAGCCTTGACAATTATTTGGGGCGTTCGCAAATATGACCCACTTAGCGGAGCTGTTCTGCTTCTGTTAACCCGTTAATGGTTTGTTAAATTTGCTGAGATATATATGTGAATTATTTCACATTTCGATTTTGCATTTGTGTATGTGGGATGAAAACTTGTTCAGTAATCAACTACAGGTTTATCTTGATTTTAGATGCTGCAATTGACGCAAAGTCAAAGTCAGAATAGCAAAATAGTTGGAGAGAAACAAATGTGATGTAATTGAATTATTTCTGATTTATAAATAATAGAAAGTTCGAATCTTAAAAGCTATGGCAGCTCCAAAGAATTTGTGCATTTTTGATCCCAACTAGTGAATATTATTATAATTACTCAAAGAAATCTCTGCATGAAGATTTCATTTGGCTTCAAGACAATGGTTTTTACTTTTACTTTTGCATTTTTAACCTCAATTATTTTCAATAAAATAATCTCTACACAAAGATTTATTTCTTATTGTATCAGAATACATTTGTTGACTACTCAAATGTATCTGTTCATAAAGACGTCGTTTTCTTTGTGCTAGAATACATTTCTAAAGAAAATTCAAATTTGTTGGCAAATATGCAAATAAATATCAAGTTTTAAAATCAAAAAGCAGTCGAAATTAAATTGCTCTCCTGATTGTGGAACTGTTATTCATAGTCAAAATTATTTTTGCACAAAAATGCTTTAATTGTATGTTTCTGCATTTGATAAAAGTATTGCCTGCTTTTGGGAGTAGGCAAAAGCTTATCTTGCCAGAAACACAATTTGAAAATGGGAACACAATATCAAGTTAAAAAATGATCAGATTTAGCTAATTTGACATCAAAAAGCAAAAAGCAAAACGGAAAACAAAACTGAAACTGAAATGAAAATGGGAATAAAGTTAGTTACACTGCAGCACAAATTGACACAAAACACACAAAACAAAATGGAAAGTGCATAAGCTGGTTAAAAGTTGATGGCAATGTCATAAGTTTTTAATAGCTGTAGATAATCAACGCAAAAAACATAATGATGATGATGATGATGACGATGATGAACGTTTGTCAAAACATTGTTGCTGCTGTCGTTGACATAAAATATTTAAATAAACCGCATAATTTTAATTACCACAGCACGAACAGAGCACTGAATGCGAAATTTTATAATGAATTTGAGAAGACCAAGCAGTTGGGTGTGTGTGTGTGTGTGTGTGTGAGAGAGTATTAACTAAAGCCAAAAATTGTTAATCCATCAAATTGCAAAAGTTCAAATATTTTCCACAGTTAATTAAAATGTGAATTTCAAGTAATAAAACAAATGTTTGGTACTATGAAAAACGCGCTACATTTCGATTTATGCAAACGCCATAAAAGTGCACAACGCAAACTATACAAATGCCACAAAGGCAACAGCAACAAGGACAACAGCAAGAGCAGCAGCAGCAGCAACAGCAGCAGCAACAACCGCAGTTGCAACAGCGGCAGCCTTTGCGCTTTGCTCATTAAACATAGTGCGAATCAACAAGCAGGCAAGCAAGCTTACCACAAGCAGCAACATCAGCCACAACAACAGCAACTACAACAGCAACTACAACAGTATCTGCAACAGCAGCTGCAACTACATCAGCAACAGCAACTACAACAGGAACAGCAACAGCAGCAACAGCAGCTGCAGCAACAGCAACTACTACAACAGCAGCATCATCTACTCAGCAGCCAAAGTGGCATCCATTATTTAATCTTTCACAGCAACAAAGTGAAATTACAAAGCTTCGCGCCTCACCAAAACGTTAACAATAATTATAGCAGCAGCAGCAACAACAACAATAACACAGCCCACGGCAACAGCAACAGCAACAAGAACAACAACAACAGCAACTTGCAGCAACGTGAACAAATTAATTGCTGGCTACTGTACAAAGCTAGGCAGTAAACAAGGACTGGCGACTGGCGACTGGCGTCTGCTAACGCTATTTACTCAAGGTGTTGCTGGCGTGCAGCATTTGCAGAGCAACAATAACAACAGCAACAACTGTAGCAGCAGCAGCAACTTGAAGTCAACGTTTGCTGTTTGCTGTTTGCCTGCGTAGTTATGGTCGATCCATTAAAAATCTTTTGGGTTTTGACAAATAGCACCTATTTGGGTAAGTGTGTGCACGGCAATTTCTCTCTCTGTATTTGTTTCGCCACTGCAAATCAAGCTAAGTAGCAGACGCTTCATGTGTGTGTGTGTGTGTGTGTGTGTGTGTGTGTATTATTTACAGCTGTAAACCACTGCTGTTCAAATTTGCAGGATATGTGTGTTATTTGGCCCGCGGGGAAATGCCAAACTAATGATACCCCTGTGTTGAGCCTTTGAGTAGAGGGCCTTTTAAGCATGCCTCTATATGTGTGTAATTCTTTCACTGCAACGTGGTTATTATTTTAATGGATGCATTAATTTCAAGTCTAGCTAAGAGATGGATGCTCCTTAATGGCCCGGCCTGATGACTGTAATATGTTTTGAGAGTGCCAGAAAATGAGTTTATGAAAGAGTTTGCCTTATGTGTGTAAGAGCATATACATAATAAAATATTGTCATTTGTCAACGAGATTTTGCCTTTTTACTCTACACATTTAACTGAGTGATTGTTGTCGTCAATATGTATGTATTTTATATGAATTTATAATAGGATATCATCTTATACATATCATATATACACATATAATAAATAAGATTGAACTCTTTGGGTGTCTTAAAAAGCATTTGGGATATTCGTATTTTTATAAATAATAAAATGCATATTTGAATATTTTATTATGTCAAATATTATTCCATAACTATAACTAGAAAGCAAACAAAAAATACCACAATTGTTGTTGAGTCTTACTCCCTTACTGAAAGGGATTATTTACTTATTTTATGCATATAAAATAAACACAATTACAACTTATATAATCTAATTTACACTTGTCCACTTAAAACTTGTAGTCAATATCTAGAAACTTTAATAAAACACTTTGCGAGCAGTTTAAAGCTGCTCAGGGGTTACAAACAAATCTATTTGTATAAGTGCCCAGCTTTTGGCTTTGGCAAAAGTTTTTGCAAATAAATAAATAAGCTACACGCTTTTAATTTACTAATTAGTTTTTGTGACACAAAAACAAATAAATAAATAACAGCATCAGCAAATACATAACAAATACTTCAAACCACACACACACACACATACACACTTATACACACTCACACAACTACTTTTTTATTGCTTTTCGTTTGTCAGCGCAAAAATTTTAATCCTCAAGGCAGTTAACATTGCGCCGACCACGCCCACGCCCACTTTCATGCCCACGCCCATGACCATGCCCACGCATAATGCGACAACCGTTGCGTAATAAATTAGCCAAGTTTATGATAATCTCTGTATTGTGTTTACACATGTATTTCGGATTTAGTTTGCCAACGCTTCTGTCTGTGTGCATACCCTGTAACCTGTAGGCGAATTAGCTCACGGGTATGCTCAACTTGTGATAGGTAACTGCTGCAATCATGAATTAGAAGAAGAATACAATTCCGAATCCAATTCTAGCCTTATTTATAATTTTCATTCTCATTTCCCAAGAATTCATTATCATTTTATGATTTTAAATCTTTATTTTAGGTTAACATTTGCTAAAGTGATAAATGTCTGAATCATGAGTATCTACTTCGGACAGCACAACTATTTCTTGGCATGTCTAAAATCCATATGCAGGGTATTTTATAATCGAGTTTTAAACTATTTCATTACAACTTGTTTTTCTCTGTGCTATGCAAAAAAGTTGCTTTCACATAAAGTAAATATCGAGTTTTCTGTTTGTGTTTGTCTATTTACATTTATTTGATATTGTTTGCATCTGTGTGTCTGTGTGTGTGTGTGTGTGTGTGTGTGTGTGTGTGTGTTATTGTGTGTGCTTGTGTGTGGCGACCATTAAAACTATTACAACTAATATTACTATTAGTGGGTTTGGGTTGGTTAGGTTAAGTGAGCTGTTTTTGTGATAAGCGGCGTATACGTGATATATCAGTGTGCCAAAGGCGAAAGTTGGCAGAGGCTTTGACATCGTGATTCATTAAATGGGAAGCTCTATATTAAAATCAAAGGGTTGAAATAAATTTAGTTAATTTAGCCTGCGGTCTGGATGAATGTGTGTCCGTGTATCTCTTTGACTTTTAATTAGTTTTCACCTGAATTGATTGCTTTATTTAAACCGTTGGGCACATCAAGTAAAGCTTGGCTAGCAGCTTTAAAAAGGGATATAATTTTTCCATTTATATGGTATTCTGAGAATCAGAATGAATTTTGTATTTTAATTCAGCTGGTGACAAAAAAAGAAGAAAAAAAAGTAATAAATATGTACATGTATCCAAATCAGGGGGCGCAAAAGTTTTTAATTGCGGCTGAGCCCTCTCAGCGGACATAGACCGTAATTAACACGTGCAGTCGAGTGTCCGAGGTTGCCCCTATACCCATCCCCGAACCCTGTATCTCGTTAACTTGCTCGTTGCGTTAATGAACAACAGTAACGACAACAACAACGACAACAACGGCAACAACGACAACAACGGCAACAATGACAACAACAACTTGCAACACAAGACCTTGACAAAGACTCACAATGTGAAAGCGTGGAATGGGAGCAACTCATTATAGCTGACAAAATATTTGTCAACTCATCAGGCGCTGCCGTTATCGCCATTGCCGTGCGCCATATTTTTTAGCTGTTGTTCTTGTTTTGGTTTTTGTTCTTTGTTCTTTATTTATATTTTGTGTTCTATATCGCGCAATGTGCGCCATCTTGTTTTTTTGTGCGCATTTTTTATGACTTTTTGTTTTTTGCGGTGAGCTTTGTCTTTTGTGCGTCTTTTTTTCTGTTTGCCTTCTGTCACTGGGCGCATTTTTCATTGCGATACCCTGTGGGTCAATGGAGGGGGGTGGGTGTTATGAGCAGCGATAGCATCTTTAAATATTTTTTAGTAATTAATCTAACTATAGCTAACGCAAAAAATATTTGTCAGAATATACAATTCTGAGTTCATCAGCATGTCAATTTTCTAGTTTGAAAATATGAGAAATGACCACACATTCTTTTAAACAATTAATTATCCCTGTTCATTTCACATTAATCACTGGCTGCAGAGGATGTTTTAGCTCTTCAGTTGCTATCATCTAGCTTTACAACTTGTTTATTTTTCAAAGACCCACGTACTTTTTAATTAGTCATAGTTGGCGGTGTCTAAGTACTAAGAATCACTCGGAAGTCTCTTCAACAAATACAGATTTAAATGCTCTTGGGCATCATAAGCACGGCCAATGATTATTTAAATATTTTCACAAGTTTAATTAGCTTTACAGCGTCTTCCAATTGTTCAGGTGCAAGTGAGGTCACTTCGGTCATTGGCTATTAAAGCCCGTTCCACACACTCTTAATGATGTTGCTCTGTGTGTGCTAATGAATACAAATATATGAAGTAAGATAAAATATATATGTATTTATTTATGTGTATATATGTTTATATAAATTCGCGGCTCTTTCGACGCGCCTCGATTCGCAGCCTAATTGAAAATATGCCCAGCAGCCGCTAAGGAAAAACAAAATCCTGTTCACCACGGACTCTGACCCGCCCTGCTGCTCTCGTCCCTTTGGATGGGGCATCAAAGTTAATGAGCTGCAGCGCCGCGTCCGAGGTCGAGTTTTGTAGTGGCCCAAGGGCGTTATTTGGATTTGGTTATTCGTTGGGGTTCAACGAGTTTATTAAATGGATTTAATTGTGTTTTTACTTTGTGAATAAAATGAGGTTTTCTCTCTCTCCCTCTCTGTATAGTCGAGGTTTTTGCGTGCTGCGGCTTTCCAGCTGATTCACCAAATTCCCAAATATCTCTCTCTGTGTGTGTGTGTGCGTGTATCTGTGTATCTGTGTGCGCCGCTGGTTGCACATAAATCATGCAATATAGCTTAATAATTACCTGTGCTAATTACTCTGGGGTCTAATTGGAAATTAAAGCCAGGCAAAGAATTTAAGAAGCAGGAAAAGTGAATTGAATTTGATGTCTTAATCAAATATTGAATACATGAAATAAGTAAGCAGCAGTGAAAGTAAGTCAAATCATAAATGTAGAACAAATACATAAACGTTTGTTCGCTTAGGGCTCCAGTAATATTAGCTAACTTCACGTAACACGTATAATATTATTGCAGTCTCTTCTTTCACTTGAGTTCTCCCTTCTGGCCTCAATTTATACATAAATATTTTTGCAATTTTTTTATTGAATTTTAATATTACTTTTTCACCCACGCATGCAAGAATTTTTCTTGAATTTGTAATATTTATATTACTTGCGAGCACTCCCATATTTCCTATTGAAGTCAAACATTTTAATAGGGGTCCAATAATATGAGTCAACTTCACTTCTAATATTTATTTTACATTCACTTTTTCCTTCTCTTTCCAAACTTAGTTTGCCTACACACAAAAGAATTTTTTCTTGAATTTTTAATATGTCTTTTTCACCCACACTTTGAAGAATTTTTCTGAATTTTTAATCTCTGTATTATTTAATTTAATTTATTTATTAATGACTCCTTCACTTATGACTCCTGTTGGTGGCACTTCGTGTCGAAACACCTATTATTTTATTATTTGGTTGTTCAAAATACTCTTATGCTTAACTTACTTTACATCATGAGCCGCGTTAGCTGCACGAACAAACAATAAACCTAAAAAAATCCACTCAACTAGCAGGAACAGACACCTTCTGCCCCCCTGCTGGTTGGTCCCAACATCCCTCTAGTAAATCAACAATGTTTAACCCCAACCTGCTGTCACTTTAAATGTTTTGCGCTTTGTTGCCTTTTCGGATAACAAAGCACCTTTACTTCCGGCTCTGTAAACTACTCTATTTACCTCCTCACCTACTTCTCTAATGCACGTACTATATAAATATATATTTTTTGTTTTTTACCATGGCTGATTTGAGCAGCTCTGACACTTGACTCCGCTCTCCCAGGGCTGTGCTCTAAACCAAATTATAGAAAAAGAGAAAAATAATGATAATAAAAAACTGCACGGGGCGCTGCTCAGAGAGAGAGAGAGAGATAGAGAAAAAGGGGAGGAGTGGAAAAGGGGAAGGTTAGAGTCTGACGAAAAATGTTGTTGCCAACAAAATGTTGAAATGTTTCTCAGTCTGGTGTGAGTGTGTGTTGATGTTTACAGAAGCTGCTGCTGTTTCTGGCAGTCATACAATGACAGACTGACATATGGTTTGGTTAGTCGTAGGGCCGTGTGGGGGTTGGATATGGGTGTGTGTGTGTGGTTGTTAGTGTGCCAGTTATGTGACCATAAATAGCTGACTTCAGCCCGGCCACGTTAATAGTTTAAAGTGAGTCCTTTTGACTGCCGCTTGTCGAGCGCTCAGCATTCCGTTGCCCCCTCCCTGCCTACATGTGTGCTTGGCTGCCACTGCTCAGTTTGTTGGCCAATTTAACAGCAACAAAAAGGCCACTTAAATATGCAGGCTGAATGTGCTTTTTGTACTTTTGCCTATGCCCTTTAGCCACGAGTGCCAAAACTTAAGTCAAGACAGCGACAAAGTACAAAAAAGGACCAACAACAGCAAAAACAAAATTCAATTTCAGCTAGGGCTCTATTTGCTCAGTCAGCTGCTGTGTGTATGTGTGTGTGTGTGTGTTTGTGTGTGTTTATATGTGTGTGCTTATAGCTGTTTTTATATTTATTTAGTATATTGTTCTACACCTACTTGCGTACATGCTGCGAAGTGCCTCGCTGACTGCTTACAGCTTGCTCTGCTTCTCTCTAAATATACCCTGAACCCATTAAAAGTGGGAGGAAGGGTATAATGAAGCTGTTCAAAAGTATGTTATCGCATTTTTGATTAGCAGCAACAGACGAAATGATTTAGCCATTTTCGTCTGTCTAAGCAAACCATTCTCACAGACTGTAACAGCTAAGGAAAATGTTACCAGATGAATTTTATTAAATTCTATCGATAACTACAGCCGCGTATCGAATATCGATACAAAGCGATGTACAAGTCAAAATTGTAAAGATATATCCATACATATTACTGATCAACTGTAGATTTTAGTAACCAAAACATATTTTCATATTACAATCAGCAAGACTACTCTGTATTTAACAGCTGAGTGCAGTGTATGTCCTAATCGAGCTGACGTTAATATTCTAGCTTCTAACAAGTTTTCCACATCGGACAGCAATATCATATAAGCAGCGCACAGCTCCTGGACTGTTGTCAGAAAGGATATGTAATATTCGGCTTCCCAAAAATGCATTTTAATTTTCCTTTTTTATTATTAAGTTTGCCCTATTTACAAAAGTTGTGCGCCCCAACAAAAAAAATTTAAATGAGAAGAGTTGTTTGCGTTTTTCTATTTACTTTTGCGCATTTCTCATTTTCTTTCGCTTTCCGGTTTTCGAGCATTACGCGCCTCTGCGACCCCCCTCAGCCCCTTCCCCAATGTGTTCAACGAGTAAGTTAAATAAAGCTGAGCTAAATTCTAATTTAGATTTCGTTTATTATTTCACGACCTGATTACTTTTAATTTAGCCAACTGAATGTTATAAAAGAAATGCCTGATAAATTGTTAATGAAAGCATGCGAAATTTAATCTCAGTTGCATATAACTAATATATTTTCTAAATTGAAAATCATATAAACGAATTAAAAATAAATACAGAATATTGCATTTTGGAATCTAAAATTGAATTATTTGGCAAACTCACCGAATAACGTAGAGAAATTTGAATAATTAACGAAATCGATGCGCAGTGAAAACATTCGAAATCTATGGCATTTTCCGTTGGAAAAATTAATAATTTTTCACTTTGCCCAATAAAAATAAAGTGCTGAAAATTGTGAAAATAAATTTAGTTATTCGGTATTATTTAGTTATGTGTTCACGCCGGAAAATCAAATCGACAGAGTACAATGCAAACATATGCAATTAGTTGATAAAATGTACGCTCTCTTTGAATATTAAATATATTTATAGATATTGAAAGAGCCCACAGAACATGTGCATATATTTTAAAAATTTCATATATGACAGATTAAAATGCATTGGGAAATGCATTTAAGAAAATGCCTTATGTATTCTGATCAAAGCAGGAAAGACGCCCGCACAACTTGCGTTCTTTGGCATATTACGTATACGCATGAAGTGCCGGGCTGCAATATTCACATCCAGGCTGCTGTTGACTGCCAGCTGGCAATATTAATTTTTCCCAGCAACTTTATGATGTGTGACCAACTGTGTGTGTGCTGTTGTCTCTCTCTCTCTCTCTCTCTCTCTCTGTCTATCTCTCTGTCTGTCTTCCTTTGTAGCATTCACTTAAAGCATTTATCGCATTTATTTTGCACAAAATACAATTTTATTTATTTATACATGTTTGCACAAGTTGCAGTTGCCATGAAATTCTAGCAGGAAAAGCGAATTATTGCTTCCGCATGTGGGCAATTTTCACAAAGAAACCAGAAACTTCAACTTGCAGCAAAAAACTTGTTTTTGCTTCCCGTTCCGCCCCCTCCCTTTGAACCTTATCTTGTGCTGTGCAAGAGTGTACTTGAAGATATCTGTTTTTCAAAAGCAATAAATCAATTATGAAAAAATCACATTTTATTAAATGCATTGCATGGATTAAATGCAATCAAATCAACAAGCTGAAACTTCATCAAAGTCTTAAGAAAGATGTTATTGTGAAAAATGTGGCGAAAGCTGAAGCAGAAACTCGAATGCATTAAAGTATTTAAAAGCAAACCAAATATGCAATAAAAACCGCAATGAAAAGGAAGATTCATCTCAGAGCTATGCCTTTAAGCAGAGCAGAAAGAGCATAATCTAATATTTTATACATTTTGCTAAGGCACTTTTCCAACTTTCCAAGTTTTAAAAGCTTCTTTAACACACATTGCTCATATTTTATGAAAATGCAGCATAAGTTTAATATAAACATTGGAGTTAAACTCCAAAAGTCATTAAAGCACAGATTTCTTTGGCCAAAGCTCTTTAGATAACTTTAAGCAGGAAATTAGCACTGCAATTAAGCAAATAATTCTATAAAAATACAAAGCGCAAAGAGAACAGAATTATTTTTAGCTTCACTTGCCGTTGCAGCAAAACTATCTTTGCTTCGAGCGAAGATGTTATCCAAGAACGATGTTTGTCTGCGATGAGTTTTCCTATTAAGTGTTGATGCATTCAACACTCGGTCGTCAACTGATTCGACAATTTAATTATGCTCATTAGAGCACAGGCCCCCAACATCTGTGTTGCGACGAGTTGCGATGCGTGCCACAATTTAATGCATGCCACGTTTTGCGCATAAACCGAACAATTTACGACTTTGTGAAGCCGCCAAGGCACGCGCGCAATTTGTCAATCGATAAATTTTGGCTATAATTAATGCGGCTTATTGGCATTTCATATACTCGTTTTACTACTATTCGCCAAAGGGGGGTGCGTCCAAATTCAATCAATATAAAAAGTATCTTTGTATTTTCCTATCCTTGTATCTGTGTGTGTTGTGCTTGATTTTCTCATGCGTCTCCTTCTATCTTTTTTCATTTACAGTTACAAAATTTGTACGCATTGGTATTGCCGACAAGAACGACTCTCCGCCGTATTTCGATAGATTTCTGTACGAGACTGAAATCGATGAGAATGCCGATTTGCAGAGCACAGTGCTCACTGTCAACGCCAAGGATCACAATGAGTGTGAGTATAACTAAAACACACACACACACATACGCACGCACACATGCACACACACACACATATCCTTTTAATTGTTTAAGGCGATTTGTCATTGTCGCTCAGCCATTATCCATCTGTGAGCTCGTATCCGAAATGTGTCAGTTGACTTAAGTTAAGGCAGAAATGAATTTTATTTCATTGCTATTTAATAAAGCTTAGGCAACATTTTGTTGCATAAATTAGACATTGATTTAATCAGTCTTGCTTTTAATTGCAATTGCCCAAAAAGGCAGTCTCATCTAATCTATGTGAGCCCTTTCAACGGCAACTGTTCTCTAGCATAATTGATATACATAAAAATACACTCGAATGCGAATTGTGTGAAAGAGAATATTGCCTGCCTTAGGGCAATGCGATGGGAGTTAAGGGACTAAAGTAAATTCTTAGATCTACACTTGGGCCATATTCCATCTGCTTTCAAGTATGCTGAAGTTAATTATTTTGAATAACTTAATAAATCAACATGGAAAAGGTTTTGCAGCGCCGAATTAACTTAAGCAGAGACAAATTCTTAGACCTACACTTAAGCTAGATAACTTGTTTTTTAAGGCAAGCCAAATTGTCTCCGCGCTTTTATATTTTCAAAGTTGATTGAAAAACCCAATTTGACAGGTTGTTTTGTTTGCTGAACTGATACAAAGATTGTATCAACGTCACTTCAAATTAGCGATAGAAGAAATTATCCAAGATTTAGTTAAGCTTTGATTATTTATAGGTGGAAAGATAGAAATCTGTGTCTTTTTCCACAATCAAAGCTGACACACAAGTCAAACTAAGCATTGTAAATCCCAAGATGTTGATGACTGCGCAGCATTTTGAGACGCTGCTTTTGGCCATGTTTACTGATAATAATCATAAGGTCATCAGCGGGGTATAGCCTACAATATAATGTAATTTTGTCAAATCATTGTGACGCGCTACTTTGGGGCATTAACTTTTTGACTCATATCGTTTTAATGCCACTCTCTGCGTGCACATAAAAAAATAAATTCACATAAATAAATGATGATATAAACATTAGGAAAATACCAATTTGGCAATTTCCTATATGGCCTTTCTTCCGCTGCTGCTGCTGCTTTAGCTTCAGCTTTAGCTTTAGCTGCCTGCATAAATATTAAAAGATGGCTTTGAATATTTTTCACATTCGAGCACACACAAAATATGTATTTGGACGATTTCGTTCGCGTTGGCTCGTAATAAACATTTGTTTATTTTAATACGCCGCCAAGATACACACTATGTGTGTGTGTGTTTGTAACCATTGTGAAAATATTATTGCTCATACGCCATGTACGCCAAATATTTACCAAATATTAACAAATAAATGCTCATTGAAGGCAAAGATACACAACAAGAGATACACTCTCAACTTGCGCTCCCCATGAATAAATCCATAAAATACAAAGACAACACACCCACACACACGCATGAGCAACTACCTCCCATGCTCTTCTATTGATTCGCCATACGAAACTATCATTGTAAATATTATGGCCAGCGAGAACTACATGTTTTATCGCATGTTCCCCCAATAAGTGAGGGGTGGATAGGGAAGGGAAGGCGAGCGAAAAAAGATTTGCAGTATCGCAACATTCAAAATCTCATTGAGAACGTTTAACAACTTTGATAGGGGAGTAAAACACGAGTGAGCCACAAGCAAGACACACACACACACCACACACTACACACACACTTATGCAGGCGACACATGTCAGCAACAGCAACGGAATATATATGGAGCCAAATCTTCTTCTTCCGGTTCGTCCTGCTGCTCTCCTCGTTTGTGCTCGTCAATGTCGCCGTCGTGACGACTGCGAAAAAAGCATTAACCCGAATTGGAAAAAAAACGGTAGACAAAGAAGAAGAAATAGCTGAAACAAGAAAGCAGCAACAGCACCCGTCCATACAAATTGGAATGTATTTGCGTCCGTCTGTCTGTGGGTGTGTGTGTGTGTGTGTGTGTTCGAGTGTGTGTGTGTTTAGTACGCAAAACAATAATACGAAAACGAATATTCGCCAAAGCTGAGCAACAGAAAATGGCAAAAACAAGCTGCTGGCCACAGACTTGGAGATATCCTATTCCCAAATAGTCAACAAATAGTTAAGATACAAAAGCCGAGAATCGTTAAAGAAAGCTCAAAGTCTGCAAGCTTAGTTTAAACTAAGTAAGCCGTTGAATAATATATATAGACAAGAGAAAAGATACATAGAAGAATATTTCTCTATATAGCAAAGACTTAACTAAGAAAATAGTTTAAGAAATTATTTGAAGAATACTTGAAAGAGTTATGAATGCTGCAAGTCAATTAATCAACTTTGTTTCTGTGCTTGGCATACAAAAACCTACATAAAAAGAAAGTTTTTTTAGCTCTCTTTCACTTAAACTTAGTTTCTAAAGATTGTCTGACATAAAACCAAGTTTTGCTCATTAAAACCGAGCTTGCCAAGTTTATGCCATAGTTAGACATAGTTAGTCTATCTGATTAAAATAATACACATATAATTGGTGTAGTCGAGAATAACCGACTGTCTGTCACATATATTGTGTGTGTACTGTAGCCCATTTGTATTCATTTGCAATAGGTCCAGGGCATATATATAAATTGTTAGCTGGCCAAATGTTTTGTATACATTGAGAAATCCATATCGCACATCGCTCGTATTTGCGAGCAAGTCTCACAAATAATATATGGATGGCCCCCAAACACAACAAATACACACTCACACACACTCACACACACACATTAAGTGGAATATGGGGGCCATGACAATCTTTTATGTGATTTCTTTTGCCTATTTTGCTAGTGCAAATGGCATGGAATGCTATGCACAAAAATGAAGCTGTAAAAACTTCGGTGATTCCAATTTTCCTTCAATCTCTCTCTCTCTCTCTTTCTCTCTTTCTCTTTCCCGTTCTCTATTTGTCTACCGCTCTCTCTCACGCCCCTTTGCCAGCGCAAATACAACATTCGAAATTTATGAGCGCAAAAATTATTTATTATTCAAGTATGTGAGACTTTGAAACGGTTTTCAACATGCAAGCATTTTCGGTTTGACAGTGTGTGTTTGCTTATGTATGTGTGTGTGTGTGAGTGTGTGTGTGTGTGTGTGTATGTGTGTGTGTGTGTGTGTGTTTTAGTGTGTGTCAGATGAGGTTCTTAAATTTTTAAACGATGTTAGCTATGCTAGAAACATTTGTTCTTTTTATTCAATTTCGGTACATTGTTAGAGCATAATCCAACTTTGTTTGTTTGAAGCTTAAATTGAATCCATTCACTTTATTATTATTTATTTATTTATCCCCGGCTACAAGTTTGAAACTTATTAGGATTTGTGCGAGTCACAAAAGTGTTAAATACAATTTGGTGAATATTTCTCACTCATTTATTATTAAATTTACTTTTTAGATAGCATAATATATGAAAATAGAATATTAAATACTTGTGGAATTATTATTATTAATTCTCTTCAGCCTTAATACTACCATGAGATATTTCAGTTGGTTAAAAGTTTGTTTCGTGAGGGAATATTGGGCTTACTTTGGAATAATATATAGTGTAGCTTAGGTCAATATTTCCATTCATATTAAAGATTTAAAGTTGAAGAGTATTTCGAGCTTAAGTTAAGCTCTTTGAGCAATCTTATGACATAAATGCCGTTTTCATTGTAAAACTCATTTGCTTGCTATTACTGGGCAAACATTAATCAAATTAAAGTAAATGTGCACTTAAATTGAGTGAAAATCTTTGATTTCGCTAATGCACAGCAACTAATTCAAACTTTTTTCTGATTCAGTAGTCCCCAAGGTCTTTTGGATTTAAGTGCGTTAAGTAATCCTTTCGTGGCGTTTGACTGTACTTACACATTGGCTGGCCAATGGCTTTGGGGATGCCATGAAATGGCTTTCCATTATCATCTCAAGTTCTCGGGCCGTCATAAAACATTTTAACGCCAAAATACAATTCAACAATAGAACGGGTCACGATTGAACGCAAACGTTCCACTTAGCCAGAGTCAGTGGGCCACAGTGGTCCCTCAGTGGCACGGCTGCAGTGGATGTAAGCGAGTCATAAAAAGTCTTTGCTACCACGATCTTAGACCATAGACGAAGCACTCAAATAAAGTAAGGTCAATAAAATGGTAGGAGGGGCAACGCATAGAACCAGAAACAATAAGAAACGCAAGAATAAAGTTGTTTTTTATTTCACATTTTAAACTGACTTTTCATGCTAAATAAGTATGGCATAAAAACAACAACAAAAGACAAAAAACAAAAAACAAAAACAAGAAGAATATGTAGTATATGAGTAAGCAGAAATGAGGCAGCAGCTGCGGTTGCCACAGTGTGTGTGTATTGTGTGTGTGCTGGAGTCTCAAAGGAACGAGCTGAGCAGCAATTCCCAAGGCGAATGTCTTAGGGTGTGCGTGTGTGTGTGCGTGTGTGTGTGTGTGTGTCTATGTGTGTGCTTGAGTGTATTAATTTATTATCATTATCAGTGATTTTAAAATGGCGTCGTGACATCGTAAATTATAAATGCCTCTGTGTCTAAGACACGCTCACTGAGACTGGGGACTACTTAACGCCTGCCAAGATACTGTTGCTATCTTGTTCTTGCTGCTATTGCTGTTGCTATTGCTGTGGCCGTTGCTGTGTTCGTAAATTGTGGCAACCAAAAAAAAATAAAAACAGAGTCAGGGGCCCCACTTAAAGTGCACCATGTGTATATATTTTTAATGCTGCCAAAAAGACGCGACTAACATAATGAAAAAATGCTCTTAATATATGGCGAGGGTTGCTCAGAATTGTGGTTGTCATGTGCAGCTACCTCGAAAGAATAGAGCTGGAATACTAAATACTTAAAGGCACGTTGACGACTTAGAAGTCAGCTAACTAAACTCGATTTGCAGTAGCCGAATTAGTAGTCAGAAAGAGAATTTTAATGAACTGTGCTATCCAGGCAAAAGCTATAGACGGGGCATATAATAAATAATATGTAATAACGACTAGCAAATAAAATCAATCTTAGGCTCAACATTGACTAGTTTTTGTTTAATAGGTAGTTGAAAAACCTGGAATAAATTTTATGTTATTTTATTTATTATGTTACTTAATAATAACAAAATATAAATTAATCAGCATTCAAATGCACACATGCATAATTAGTCCATATTTATCTTTAATTACAATCCAAAATGATTTAAGTTAACTGAAAAGTTATGGCGGAGTTTCTCCTAAAATATTGTACACACTTTAAATTCATATAATAACAAATTCATAATATGCAGAAATCAGAAGCTAACAACTGATAAGACGTGACATTATGAGCATTCTAACATATCCCCAATCTTCGTTGCGAATGTTTATGTTAATGTGAAGCAGCCCGCGTAAATTGTCTTACTGCTCACATGCTAACTGCCTTTAATTGAGCAGAAAGCTGTAAAGTTAACACACGTCTAAAGTGCTCAGCATTGAGACCAAGTTGTCGCCGCCTCCCCCCACTCCCCACACAAGTTGCCAGACTTTTGGGTTAAGCGATTTACGCGTCGCTAATTCCCGCTAATGTTTGTCATTTTACATTTTTGCATAAATGAACTGGCAAACTCCTACTTCGTCGTCTACTTTTGCGTCTTCTTCTTATTTGCATAGCCACGCCCATACGCCCAAGTACATGACTGTGCATGTGTGTGCGCGTGTGTGTGTGTGTGTGTGTGTGTGTGGCACACATGTGTGAAGTTGTTGTTGTTGTTTGCCGTCTCGCCCGCTTTTTTAGCCCACTGCTGGCAAGAAGACTTCACAAGCTGTTTAATTATTTAATAAGTAAATTATACGCCATGGCGCAGGACACGCCCACTTTTAAAATGCTAGCTGAGAGTTCTGGTGCAAGTGTTTTTAATTAATAAACTTAATTATGTTGTCCCGTTTTCCTACTGATTTCGCTATCGTCGTCGCATTCCCACTCAACTTTGATCTTTCACTTGGAGTAGCAAGTTGTGCATTTTAAGTTTATAATTCCAAGAAAATACCAAACATTTTGGCTTCTGATTAATTATCCAAATTCAATATATCAGCAATTTTGTTTCGATAAAGCTAAGCAATTAGAAAATCTGAAAAACGCTTTGATGTGGATGCCATTGGCTAATAGTTAGTCCTACACAAAACTGTATATCAATTTACTTAAAATTAAATGCCAAGTGCCCGAGGATCTCTGCGTAGACTAGGTGGATGCAAAATAAATTAAATTCACAGCAAGTATAAAATAAAAGGCCAACAAACTCCCCGTTGAGGTCTTAATTGCACACAAGCCAGAGCTAAAGTTCTCTCTTACATTATGCATACGCCATGTGTGATGTGAAGAAATCAGCTTAAGTTTAAATGACCTCAATGGCAGTACTACACTGAGAAAAAACAGATTAAAGCCACATTAATAATAGTGAAGAAATCTGAATAATAATAATAATATCGAGTCAGTTTGTATTGTAAAATGAAACAAACTTCATTCAAGCTATCAATTTGTATCAAAGTTATTCGTTTATTTTATAAATATATAAAATATAAATTCATCAATTGAATGGTTAACCGGAAAAAGAAATTTGGAATAAATTTATAGCCTTTACAGAAACTGTTCAAATTCACTTAAACTTTGTAACAATGACTAAATGATTGTTATTGTTAAATTGATAGGTAGGAAAAGTGCTTTGGTTGATTGGATAATTGCTACAAGGCTTGAGTACAAAATACGATACGGCTAAAAATATATTCCTTAATTGAGGTTGTAGCTATTAATTTGGTAGTTACTAATTTTAGCAACAGTTGAACAATGTCCTAGACACAAGCATTTAATTAAATAAAAAATCGTTTCTGTATTTTGCTTTCTGTTCGACACAGCGACGAATATTCGATACCAGATCACAGGCGGTAACATAGGCAATGCCTTTGCCGTTCAGAATACGACCGGCGTCATCTACGTTGCCAGTCCGCTAGACTATGAAACGCGGCCAAGGGTAAGTATTAGTCGTATAAGTATGCAAATAAGCCAGCCTCTCTCTATGATTTCGCTTTACCCTTGTCACACACGACAGAATACTGACGACAGACAGGAGCTGTGCTGACAGCAGAGCCTACTCAAAAGTCTAGCCTTAACTTTCTGTTTTATTTTCTTATTTTACTCATCTTCAACTTGCAGCATGTATTATTATTTTTGTCTTCTTGTCTGTGTGTGTTTTATATTTTATGCTCAACTTTTTTGGTTGTGCATGCATAATTTATATATTTTTTGGTTTGGTTGTCGTACTGTGGAATGCCACGAGTAAAAATATGCAAAACTATGCAAAACTTACAGCCGAACAACTTTTCGACGCTCTGCTGCTGCGACTACAAAAGAAAAAATTAACAAAAAAAAAAAAAGAAAAAATATATGTGAACATGCAAATAGATATACATAGTCGCAATGTGTGCGTGTTTGTTTGTCCGCAACCCAAAATTACGTGAAGAGCAAAAAGACAAAACAACAACTCGCATCGAGTCAACGTTGAGATCCACATCTGTTGGCACATTTTCCATACCGAATTTTTAACGTGATTGCACCCGGGCAAACTATTGAAATGCTGTCGTCCTTCTGTCGCCCCGCTGGGCCCGCTGTGTGAATTACAGGGATTCTGCTGCCAATGGGCTGTCACGCAACAAGCGGCAACAATGCCACAAAACATGTGTTGCCATCTCCTCTTCCTTTTTTTTCTTTTTATTTTGTTATCTGCTTTTAGGTTTTATTTTGTTTTCGCTAGTTTGGGAAAAAGTTTGACTGACATTTTCCAGCGATTTTTGGCATTTTACTTTTCTAAATAACAGGCAAATTGAAGCTTTTCGCTGCGGCTGATTGCAATTTTAATTAAATTGAATTGAAATTAGATGCGATTTCTATTATTGACTCATTCTGATTGCAGTATGAGCTGCGCTTGGAGGCAACACGCAATCGCAAAAACAACTATACCACCGTTGTCATCAATGTACGCGATGTTAACGATAATCCACCTGTCTTCGATCGTCAAACATATCGCACACAAATCACCGAAGAAGATGATCGCAATTTGCCCAAACGCATTTTACAGGTGAGTACAAATAAATACTAAAATTACAATTGATAGTTAGTAAAATTGCTCTCTGTTCGGTATTATTTGCTCCCTTTAGAGACTATATAGTTATTTCCTCATCATTAAGTCCTTAACGAATGCAAGCATACAGGAATTCGTAGTCAGTTTGAGGTTTTGTATGATTTTCGAGTTAACAACTTTGTATAGTTAATGCCAAACATTCTGCTTTGATGCGCTCTGAGAATTCCAACTCATTTTCACAAAATTGAACGATTCCACTGAGAAAACAATCGCCCTGAATTTTCCAAAATCGGAAATTGCTTGAATCATGTTTGGTTAGTGCTGCCAAAGAGAGATCTGGCTTGCCTGAAACCTACTGCCTCTAAGCAATCCAAATGCCAAATATGTCTCTATTCTTTACTCAGTTACTGCCATATTGTGGTTTTACTATGCCACAATATGGTTCTGTTTCCAAATGGGATGAATGGGCCTCGCAGCGCCCATTCTTGCCCTGCCATATCCCTATTACCCGGAATACACCCAAGGGGGATCCGAGTTGGTCAAGCTTGGTCCATAACTAACGAGCAACTGTAGACGTTAATTTCCGCTGCCTTAGTGCAATTAGTGCTGCTTGACTGTTGATGTTCATCTGTGTTGGAAATACCCATTTTATCAGAGACAAGCACAGCCTTCGTTAGCTGAATGATAAGCAGGCGAATAGCTGATGTTGTGCAAAAAATGCAAGGAAAAACATACACGAAATACAATTAAAGATAATTAATCAACGTTAGCTTACTGCAATGACTGCCATGGCTGCAATTTCTGCAGTTTGCAATCTATAATCGAGCCGTTAATCAACATTCTTCAATATTGGTGGAATTTCCGAGCAGAGATCCACTTTTGGTGGCTTATCGCTGCTATCATTATTTTCCCATTCCACATTTATTATCACCCGCTTGCTCTTATGCAATTTAAATATTGAAAGGAAAAAGAACAGCGACAGCAACAACAACAACAATAACAACAACCGCCAAACACAATACATGCAATTTGCATAAAAATTCAACGGTCGAAAAAACTATGGAGCCGAAAAAAAAGACAAGCCAAACAAAAGCGCAAACAAGGCCAGAAGACCAGGACTCGAACCCAGACCCAAACCCAAACCGAAGCCAAAACCAATCCAATCCAATCCAATCCCAACCCAATCCAGCCAACCAGGCAGCTCAAGCCTCAGATCTGGCTACTGCGTGTTCGAGGCATGTAAAGTGGTCAGCAACGATTCAACGGCCGTAAATGCAAAATAAATACTCATTCATTAATAATAACGTGATAGTTGCACAGTGCTCCAACATAAGATATATATAAATACATCTGTCTCTGTGTGCGAAGTCTGTTGCAGCGACTTTTATTTAAGCCATAATTTACAACAATCCACAACATAAGAGAGAAATAATAACCTGTGTTATCCGTTTGCCAAAAGGTTAAATGCTCTTCTTTTCCACTCAAATCCGAATATGCTATACAATTGAGTGAGTCATAAAAAAGAATAATACTTCTATATCTATAAGGTAACGGATTAGCTGCTTAGCTGTTATAATACCTGCAAACAATAAAAAAGAATAGTAATAAAAAAGGCAATAAAAATATCATAATAGAGTTAAGAAGAGCTAACAATGAATATTGCATAAAAACTTTTTGCAATTACGATATAATAATATTAATGACTAGTTTTAAGCTATAATAAAAAGAAGAGTTTGGAAAATACATAAAAATCGCACACAAGAATTGCTTGAAAATTAGTTAAGAAAGAACATTTGTCTACAAAAACCAGACAGAAAGTTGAGAAAAATGGAAATTATGGATTTTTGCTTAAAAAAAACGTTGAAAGCACTACAAAAAGACAGCTCTACAAAGAATTTATTGTACTCTTTATTTTCATGTTGTTTATAAGAGTATTTTAATTGAGACCAATATAAAATTGTTGAAGATTTTATTTAAATTTATTTAGTGGAATTTTGCATAGAGTTTTAAAATGTTTTTAACGAAATATGTGAATCATCTCAGCTTGCTTTGATCTGTATCTATAATTTTATATACACAAAGTTCTAGACAGTGAATAGCGAATCTTTATTAAATAATTTCCCATTTCAATAATTTGATTGACAAATAATTGCTGTAAAAATAAATTACAAATTACACAAAATGATTCCAGTAAGCCCAATGAGTTCGATAGAGTATTACCGATGTCCTGCTGTGCGCAAATTATCCGTTCAACTCTTGGAAAATATACATTTAAATTGCACTGCCCGACTGCGATGGCGTCTGTCAGCCAATGACAACAACAACAACAACAAGAACAACAACAACAATAATGACAACGAACATTTTTAATTACACTTTTATGTGAAAGTAAAGAAATTGAAGCGGTGCCAAGTGCCAGCGATAATCGAGAGATGCATATATATATACATATATGTGCATATATACATATACATATACATATATATATATATATACATACCTATACATGCAATAAAGTAGGGCTAAAAGCATTGCCTGCTGTCTTCGACACCTTTGACCAAATTGATTTTTGTGGGCGCTGCAAAATGAATTGCAAATATGCCTTTATCGCGTGACATTTTAAATTATATACGCCATTGTGTGCGAGTGTGTGTGCGAATGTGTGTGAGTGTGTGTGCGAGTGTGTGTGTGTGTGAGAGTATTTAAATGTATGACTTGTTGAGAGGACAATGGCATGCGGGCCTCACAACGCAGCACGTGGGCCATAATAGTGGCACGTAGACAACTCTTTTGTCATATGAAATTGTGCGAAACATTTAACGTAAATTGTCGCATTGTAAATGCTTAAATGGGGGGCGAAACATGGCTTCCAATGGGCGTGGCTCTTAGCAAAATAGGCACTCAACTGGAGTAGCCAACACCTACTCCCCACATAAATGGCCATATATGAATGTATTTACATTTACTGTGCCCATTCAGTTGGCTTAAATGGTTTTTAGCTTTGCTATTCGTTAACTGATGCCGCATTGTTAATACCAACTTTTGCAGCTGGTCTGGCTCTAATTGGCTTGCCGAGTGTTTGATAACTGTCATTTCCTTGAATACACAATGCGAGAGGGAAACTCGACTTAACTCTATTGATAAATGACAATGGGCATACTTTTTGTGTGGTTTTTGTATTTGTACTCGAGATTTTGTGATATGTGCATTTAGGCTGAGTATGCAACTAAACATTGCAAGACAATGGACAAAATAACATCGTTGCAAATCCAAGCAAGCCTATTAACAGAGAGCATAATGTATGCAACCGACAACTTTACAATTTCAGCTGCAAATGGCTACGAGTCTCAGTTGCCAAATGGGTTTTGTTGTTGTTTTGGCTATTCCATGGGGAACAAACACAGTAAATACAATTTTTGATAGTTGTATATCTTTTATTGTACATTCTGAATTGAACATGTACCTTGGACATTTAAGGGGAAAATCAGATATTGAAGGCATTTGCAAATGTGGAATTTAGTTGTAGTGTATTAAAAGGAAAGTTATGTTATAAGAATAACAACTCTTAAAATGAATGCAATCCAGGAATTAATAAATAATAGGTTTGTCTTATATATATATATATATTAGTTAATGGTTCATTTTATTTAGCTGCTAAAAATTTAATAATTAAAAAGAAAACCTATACAAAAAACACTAAATGTTATTTAGTAACTATACAATTAAAAACATTACTAAGTAAAGTAAAAAAGTTCTCAATTTAAGTATGATTCTTAGATTCTTACAGAGAAATCTGTTTCCCGTTCAAATCAAATCTAAACCGATTGTCAATTTCTGTTCCCTTTTGTGTTTAACCAAATTAAAAATCTACATTTTCGCTATTAGTCTTGATGCCAAACCATTGCATTTATTTCGAAATGGAATTACATATTTAAATGCCAGCCTTAAGCCTACAATCTAAAAGCAACCGTTCTTAAATAGTGCTCACTTCACACAGTCGCCTTTATTTATGGACACTTGGCAAACAGTTCGCAGATGCCTATCGAAAGTAAGATGTGAATAAGAAAAAGTGTGCAGCAAATTTGCTTGCATCTTGTTTCTATCAAAATATAAGAATAGTAATGCGCAATAAAATATTCGATGCGCAGACAGCAGAATAGCGCTAAACACAGATTTCATTTAGTAGACGCAACCACAAAAAGAAAAAAATCGAAAAAATAAAATATATAATCGAAAAAGACAAGGATGCAGAAAAATACAGCAAGGCGATTGAATAATTACATAAATCTCGGTTAATATTAGCATTTTTTACAGACAGCAAAGAAATGGAATAAAAATACAAAATCGAAGCATAAATTTACAAGCAATCTGGCCTGTGAAAGCCAGCAGGCGGTAGGCGGCAGGTGGCAGGCGGCACTCCCCCCGTTCCCATTAAAGTCTCACCCGTCCCTTCCCTTGACAGATTTCAACCACCCGCCATCGTCCACAAGCGCATTTCCTTTTGCTTGCTTTTTATTGGACATTTAAAGGTTTTTTGCACATTTGCATATTTGATTTATTGACTGAATATTGTAAGTAAAGTCCAGATTGGGCCACCAACGGCTAAACAGTTTACAACCCCGACTCCCCCCTTTTTTAAAGGTACCCTTGCCCACAAGTCAATGCAATGCAGATTTTTCTGTACTAGCATCGCTTACTCATTTCTCTTCAATTATTTTCTTCTTTTCTTCTTCTTTGATTACAGGTTACGGCTACGGATGGCGATGTAGATAGACCAATAAATATTGTATATTTCCTTACCGGCCAGGGCATCGACCCGGATAATACAGCAAATAGTAAATTTGATATAAATCGCACAACGGGCGATATTTTTGTACTCAAGGTAAGTGGCACTCACAATGCTTAAGCTGATTTCCCGTTTACCACCCCGGAACCCACCGACACCCACCGACACCAATCGACACCATAAAACCCGTAACCATAATGAATGCCAGTTAAATTCCCCAACTGATGATGAAAACATGAAATCCTCTCCACTACACCCACACCCCTCAAACCAGTTGAAGTCAACACAACCAGGCTGCCTCCTCTGAGTTAAGCGTGCGAATGGCGTGCCATAATTTTGTTTTTGTTGGCCCACCTGCAGTGCTCAGAATATGATTGCCAGACGGTCGGTTGGGGGTGTTGAGGGGGTGCGAGGACAGCTGCTGGCGGTTTACAATGGGGCCAACAGTTTATACACACACACACACACAGTTTATGGTGTGTGACGAGCAAACAGTTAAAAGTATAGCATAAACAGACTGACTGACTTTATATACTCTGAATACAAATAATATTATGATTATGGGATAATTTTAATAAGCAATAGAAGCTAGATAAATATATCCAATTTGAATACTAGATTCTAATATAATTTTAATTGCATTTAAATTTCAACAATTATAAAAATAACCAAGCCTGTAATTTAAATGCTTCTTTCTGATACAACAATTATAAATAATTAATAAACAATTGAAATAATAATTTAAATAACAAAAATAAAGCATCAATAGATCGAACAAAACAAATGATTTAAGCAATTTAATAAAATATATCAGCAACACAATTAAAAGCTAGAAAATAATTATAAATCGTTTGAAAATCACCTAAATATAAAAAGACTGTCAGCATTTAATATTTAAACTAATTGCTTTTTATTAAATGGAAGATAGCAAATATCTGCAATGGAATTCTGCATGATTCATTTTAAAATCGATCAACTTCTTTATGCATATTTCAATTGGTTAAAGATAAGTGATTGCGCAGCTCTATTGACTTTTTATACACTACTCAAACTGACAGCTGACGCAGCTTTTAAAAATACTTGCTTCCGCACACACACACAAAAACCACACTCAAACACACACATACACACATACATGAATACACATATAGAATACAAATGAAACATGAGTAAAATAAATACTTGCTGGAAACTATTTTCAATACTTGATGTTTTTGGCTGCTTTTGAATGTTAACAATGTCCGTCTGTGTATTGTAAAGCTTTCCACGCGGCTCGCTGGCGTATGATTAATTTAAAACTGTTTCAAACCGCACAATCTCACACACCAGCAAACACACACACACACAGACACACACACAGACACACACATACACACACAGACACAAATACACACAGCCGACAAAAAAAAAAACGGACATTTTCAAGTATAAAAACTGCAAGCGTTTGATGCCAGGCTACATGAACTCCAATTAATTTCAGACAAAGTCCATAAAAACAACCAGTCAAATGGTACTCCCAACGACCATGCCTCCCCCTCAGAGCACACACCCCACACCCCCACACCCCTCAACCCCCACTACTGCCATCTACCCCTAAAACTTGCTGCATCAAATGTTCAAATGTTGCTGCTGCTAGCGGCATGCTTTATTTGTTTTATTGTTTTAGGAGCACTCCGCCTTTATGTGTGTGTTTAAATGTGTATGTATGTGTGTGTGTGTGTGTGTGTAAGTGTGTGTGATTGTTAGTATTGGTATGTGTGGCTGGCAAAGGGGATTTTTTGGGGACGACAGCGTGCGGCATTTGTGGTTTTGACGCTCTACAAGCAGCCACATGTAAATGACATTCGTCGTTCGTTATTGGTGCGTGGTTGCCTCGCATAAAATTGTGTTTAAAATGTAGTGGTGTGTGTGTGTGTGTGTATATATGTGTGTGTGTGGTTGTGATGCTTGATAAGAGGTTAGTCGTTGAGTTTAGTGAGCGCCACTCGACAGCTGCAGCGCGGTATTTAATTTGTAATTGCTTTGCTATGCGTGTCACATGCCACTGAATTGTGAAATGTGAAATGCTAAAACGTTAAAATCGTAAAATGGGCAAAATGTCAAATGTGAAATGTGAAATGCGAAATGGGAAAGTGGAAATGTGGAAATGTGGCTACGGGGTAAGGGGTCAGGGGTAAGAAGTTTTCCGCCAGCTTTAATTGAGCGAATGCCATTTGCTGCAATTCAATTTATGTGATTGGAATTTCTGGCTTATCGTCGCGAGTCTTTCACGCATTTCCATTTTGTTGTTTTTTATGATTTATTATTATTGCTATTAGTTTTTGCAAATCTTATTTAAATACTTATCGCATCTCTAACAAGTATCGCAAGAGTCGCCAAACAACCCTTTGCCAAGGTATTTTCCTTACTCATCAAGAACATCTTTAAATGCTAACCAAAATATATTGCACATAAATTAGTAAACAGATACATTTATATATAAATATATATATATAAATATATATATTGCTGCCCAATGTAAGGCAAAGTCAGATTTAATTTGCATATCCAATCGAAAATGTATCCAAAGCGAAAATGTAATTGAAACGAGACTTAATCCACCTGACCCAAACAATTTCGAAATGAGCCAGGTAAGCAATATTTAAGGATAATTTAAATAGGATCACAGTCAAGTAGGCAAACACACACAAGCACACACAGAGATGGGGCAAACTGACACGATGCTGTGTTGAAATTGAACAAATTTCATTTGATTTGATGGTCTTTATTTAGTCATGATGCTGGCGCTTACATTGAGTCGTATTCATGCGGATAACTCATTTAATGAGAGAGAGAAATCTAATATGAGCCTGGGCAAATAAATTGACAGCAACCTCAAAGATGTACACAACAGCAGCAACAACAACAATGACAGCAACAGCAACATCATTAAGCCGAACGCCAGGCAAACGGACGTCTTCCTTTTCCAAGAACCTGTAGCTGACAATAAGGCATGCCATATATGTGCATATATGTATATGTACAAACTGTGACTGCCTTCCTGCCACTGCCACTGCCACTGCCATTGGCATATAATAATTTGCAAACAAACAAGGCAAACAGCCAGCAAATCGAACGCTACTCAGTCTCAGCCTTTACTCTCCCTCTCTCTCTCTCTCATACACACACTCACTCTCTCCCTCTCTCTCTCTCTCTCTGTCGCACTCATCACACAGCCCTTGGACCGGGATCAGCCCAATGGTCGGCCGCAGTGGCGCTTCACCGTATTTGCACAGGATGAAGGCGGCGAGGGTCTTGTCGGCTATGCGGACATTCAAGTTAATCTGAAGGACATCAATGACAATGCGCCGCAGTTTCCGCTGGGCGTCTACTTTGGCAATGTCACAGAGAACGGCACAGCCGGCAGCCCCGTCATGACAATGTCTGCCATTGACTATGACGATCCCAATGAGAGCACCAATGCCCGGCTAATCTACTCAATTGAGAAGAACGTCATCGAGGAGGAGACGGGCGCGCCCATCTTTGAAATTGAGCCCGAAACAGGACACATCAAGACAGCCGTTTGCTGTCTGGACCGAGAGCGCACACCGGACTACTCCATCCAGGTGGTCGCCATGGATGGCGGTGGCTTAAAGGGTAAGCACAACACAGTCATACATATATACAGACATACGTACATATATATGTATGACTACATTGAGGCTACTCAATTGGAATTCACACTACTCGTTGTACTCTGTTGACAAAGTGGAGTAAGTTGAGTGTTCAATACTCTATAAAGCAAATTTTCAAGTTTTGGTTGCAAAAATTAATAATACAATAAGCAAAGTAAGCATTAACTTTTGTGTCTAAGATATTAAAGTGTCCAACAGTTTTTCAGAATCTTTTCTTCTATTTTGTCTAAAGAGACAATTGAATATACAAGTTTAAAATCTTTTATTAATTTATTTTATACAACTATTATTTCCATTATCAAACTATCTCCTGGCTTATGAAAACCTTTTATTAAACATCAAACAGAGTATTGCACAATTGTTAATACTCGAATGCAACTTTTTCAATGACTTTCGGATATCAATTGAAGCTAATGTGGTTTCTGTTATTGTCTCGTTGTCTCGTTGTACCCGCACAGGCACTGGGACCGCCTCGATACGTGTCAAGGATCTTAACGATATGCCGCCACAGTTTACCAAGGATGAGTGGTTCACGGAGGTGGACGAAACAAACGGCACTTATATACCAGAGACGCCGATACTGACTGTCACCGTGCAGGATGAGGATGAGACGAATAGTTTTCAGTATAAAGTGGTGCCCAATAGTGGCTTTGGTGCCGACAAATTTGCCATGGTGCGGAATGCCGATGGCACTGGCTCCCTGAAGATTACCCAGCCGCTGGACTATGAGGATCCGTTGCAGAGCAGCGGCTTTCGCTTTCGCATCCAAGTGAATGATAAGGGCGAGGATGGCACTGATGGCGCTAGCGATAAATATCATGTGGCCTACTCGTGGGTGGTGGTCAAATTACGCGATATCAACGATAATGTGCCCCGATTTGAGCGCGATCACATCGAGGTGTCCATCTACGAGGACACCAAAGTGGGCACCATACTCGAACAGTTCCGGGCCACCGATGCAGATCAGGGCGGACACTCGCAAGTCTCCTACAGCATCATACGGGATAGCAATCGTCGCCGCCAATTCGCAATCAGCGAAAAGGGCGCAATTAGCATACAGAGGCCATTGGATCGCGAGACTGAGGATCGACACAATGTGCAGATCATTGCCAGCGACGATGGCAATCCATCGCGCACAGCAACCGCCACACTCACCGTGATTGTCAAGGATGTCAACGATAATGCACCCACGCTGGCACAGGACTACAGGCCAACGCTGCCGGAGAATGTGTCGCCACGCAAAATCATCGAGGTGGCCGCCAAGGACGCCGACGATCGACAGCGTGGCAATGGCGGACCCTTCAGCTTTCACCTTGATCCCCTGGCGAGCGATGAGATCAGAGCCGGCTTTAAAGTCGAATACGATCGCAGTAAGTTTTATGTTCATTGGGGGAGGGTATACATCAGAGATAATACTTTTAATAAGTATTTGGAAAGTGGAAAGTTTATAAAAAAAAGGAGACATAATTCAATGTAGTAACCAAATTGATGACTCAAGATGCGTTCAAAGTATGAGTTATGCACTTGTAGGCCCTGTCCATTATTATTTAAAAAAAAGGAAGGTATTTTTATATTTATACGAAAAAAAAACTCGAACTGCAATTGCCATACCCTTCTAGTGAGAATCATAATTTTGTTTGTAGAGTTTCCGCCTCCATAAAATATATAAATTGATCAGCATTACTAACCCAGTTGATATAGCCAAATCCACCCATCTGTCCGTCTGTGTGTCTTACATGTTTTGAAGAGAGTTTTATAACTTTGCTCTTGAAACTTGGCACATATTTCTATATATGCTGAAGGCAAATAGTTACCATAGGAACAATCCGCCGAAAGAGAACTGTCACAAGAATATAGAAGATAAACTAAGACACAAATGTGGAATATTCAAGTCACAGCCAGTCGGGAAATTGTAGAGAAACAATTGCTTAAGACAAGAATATTTCGGAGCACGGACTATAATTTAGATGGCATCAAACTTTCCGTTTGCAAGGGTATTAAATCTTACTTATGCCTACGAAAACTGTGCTCGGTTTCTCCTTAGCACATTAAAATCAAACTTCAACTTGATTATTTACAAACTGCAAGTTGCAATTACTTTGGAATGGGAATAGAGCCAGAACTTTGTCTTTGCATTGCCAAATCTGAGTGGGTCTGTATAAAACCGCAAGTCAATTTGCGTTCATAATCAATCGTAGGCAGCCACTGCTATCGAAAGACTGCACTTGCAACAAATGGCAACCATTTGTGGCATGCTCTTGAGTCTCACTCAGTTGAGTGGGGTTGCGTTTACTCCATTCACAATCAGCATCAAACGGTTAACCAAAGTGTGTTTCTGCATAGTAATAGTGATTGAATTATGCCACAGACAATCAGCATCATCAGCAATGTTTGTGCTCCAAGTTAGTTACCCAAAGAGACAACGAAAAATCAAAAAGGAAACCGAATACATCTGAGACTAGCAGCATTGACAGATACCCTGTAACAGATACACTAAAACCGGACAAAATCAAAGTACCACAACCATTTTCGTATAGGGCATTCAGATTTGGAATAGCTTGAAGCCTTCGGGCCAATTTCTGGCATCGACATTCGAATCATTGAACTGGCTTAGTTTCCACTGCGAATTCATTTGCCTTCCTCTTGGGTGAAAATCAAATTGCTCTTCACAGAAAGCAGCTGTATTCGCATGGGGTACAGGGGTACAGTAGTCATTAAAAAACTAAAGTAAACAAGTTTTGTTTGCTCTAGTCGAGTGAGCTCGACTGGGAAATACCCAGAAAGTTGTTTTGAATGAATGAAAATACGTTTTGCATAACACAATTTGTGCTTCTCTGCCGATCGTAATGAATATTTTATGTCAGCTTAGTTGATATATAATTTCTTATATTCTTTAATCCTTATTTTCGATTTGCAACTTGAAGTCTCTAACTTGTCTAGTCTCTGAGATGGACTTGTTCCTACAGACGGGCTGAGTTGTATCTTCCGCTTGTTACGCACCTTTTAGTTAGTCATTATTCCCTTTTCCCATTTGCAACGTGTCCAGGGTATAGAAGGAAAACAAAGACAAAAGCTCATAGTAATAAGCGGAGGTCGCAAAAATCGAATCGAATCGAAACGAAGGAAAGAAATTTGAGGTGCCACTCGAACACAAGCCTGCCATTGACAAGCCGTGCGTTTTTCAATTTTCTTCTTTGGGCCATTTACTTTGCCTCTGCCCCATCTCCTACCCAATTTTTATTTGAGTTTCAGGACACATCTTCGTCAGGGACAGCGACTTTTTTCCTTTGAATCTGCCTTTATTTATTTGTTGTTCTTTTTTTTTATTTCTTTTTGGGTTGACGCGTGCTCGAATTTCAACACGTGGCTGGTTGTTAGCCGAATAAATAATTGATTCGAAAAACCTTCCAAATTAATTCCAATAAACAGAAATATACGGAAATTATGTGGGATCAATGCGGCTGCTCCCAAACCGTTGTCAATTTGCATGGTTAATTATCCAAATGAGTTGTGTAATTAGTAATAAAAACGCTCTAAATGCAGGTGCTATTTGCAAACGTACATAAATAAATAAATATAAATGGTTAATCAAGCTAATGCATTTCGCATATGTTCAATTCGATTTGCGTCATTAATTATGCCAAAAATTAAATACATATATAAAAAGGATAATAAAAAAACATGCCCTTAAATGCATTTGTTTTTTAATGTATCGATTACGTTCGCAAATTGATAGCCGCATTGAAATTCAAATAATCAAAAGTGATGTCATAAATAATGCACACAAATGTTGATCATTAATTTACTATTCAGGCTCAGTCCTTTTTTGCTATTTTGCTTTAATTAATGCTTTTCAAAGTGCGTTGTTTTCATTCGTATTTAATTAACCAATTCATGCTGTTTTTTGTGGAAGCCTTAATCAAAAATACCACAAGGTAAAACTGATTCTGCTATAAATAGGAGTAGTAGAATACACATAACAACAAGTATCATCAAATTTAGTGACTTGAGTGCTTTTGAGGTATGCGATTTCAGTCAATTTCAATTGAAAGTGTCTTTTATTGGAATTTTAATAAAAGACTGCGCCTAAATAGTTCCTCATCTTGAGTTTCCAATGCTAACACAACAAACGATTTCCCTTCTCTTCTTTCTATGCTTCCAACAACAAAATGCACATCAAATGGAATTCATTTGAATGCTTGGGCCACAATCAACAAACATTTCAACGAACCCCAAAAAATAAATAAAATAAAACCCGAACACTTCAAAAACAGGAGGCGACAATGGCAACGGGGTGGCCATCATCTCCTCGCTGCGTCCCTTCGACCGTGAGCAGCAGAAATCCTATGACATACCCATCGAGATAAAGGATAACGGGGCACCGGCAATGACGGGCACCAGCACCCTGACGGTGACCATTGGCGACGTCAACGACAACAAAATGCAGCCGGGCAGCAAATCGGTTCTCGTCTACAACTACCAAGGCCAGTCGCAGGACACGCCAATCGGACGGGTATACGTCAACGATCCAGACGATTGGGATGTCCCCGACAAGAAGTACTACTGGGAGGCACAGGAGCATCAACGTTTCAAACTCGACACGGACACCGGCATTCTGACAATGCGTGCAGGCACTCGTCGTGGTCGCTATCAACTGCGCTTCAAGGTAAAGTTGTTAAATAGTTTGCGACAATGTGTGGTCCTTTTTATATAACAATATGTAGCTGTATTTATCGATAAATAATTAGCTGTACATTGCTTACCATCATTATCCTAATCTAACTTGTTCTAGGCATCAACTCTTTTTCAAAAGTTTTGCTATAAATTCAGCATCAGCTTTTATCGTACTTTCCTCACAAATCTACTATTTGCTGTCTATCGCCTGTTTATTGGATAACAATCGCTTAATTATCCTTTGTTTATCACTGGATCGCTTCAGATCTGATTCCCTACTTACCAACGAATGTGATAATAAATATATATTCCATCTATCTTTATCTTATCACCTTTGTTTTACCTGTATAAAGTTCCCATCAACATCTCATCATCTTTGTATTGCATCTATCTCAGTCTTATATCCATCTTGTCACCTTTGTATTTAATCTATCGCTTTCTTATCGTAAATTAAATACCGATCAAACTATATATCTGGAATCTTTCTTAATCCCATCACCATCTCATCAACATTGTATTCCATCTTACCCTTTGCCTTCCTAACGACGATCTACCCCTTCATTATTTTTTACCTATCATAAAGTTTTCAATTACATACTCAACATTTCACATATGTCTTTTCCAGGTGTACGATCGCGAACATGGTCAGGAGGATATACCAGCGAATCTGAGTGTTACGGTGCGCGATATCACATCGGAGGCAGTGCAGCAGGCGGGCTCAATGCGCCTCTCGCACATCACCGACGAGGACTTTGTGCGCACCTGGAATCCGCTGAAGCAACAGGTGGAGCCATCGAAGCTGGAACGTTTTCGCAACAAGCTCGCCGAGCTGCTCTACACGGATCGCGACAATGTGGATGTGTTTAGCGTTCAGTTGCGTTCCCAATCTCCCCATCCGCTGACCGATGTACACTTTGCCGCCAGATCAGCGACACAGCAGCCGTACTTCAAGGCGGTACGGCTCAACGGGGTGGTGCAAATGCATCGCGAGGAGATCGAAAAGGAGGTCGGACTCAACATAACCATGGTGCACATTGACGAGTGCATGCACGAGGGTCGTGGCAAGTGTCCGAGCGGTTCGTGCAGCTCACGCACGGAGCTGGGCAAGCGACCCTACACGGTCAGTGTGAACCGTACCGCGCTGGTAGGGGTACGCCTGGAGTTGAGTGCTCAGTGCGTGTGTCGTGCGAGGAACTTCACTGGACAGGATCACAATTGTCGCTGGCATCACTGCTACAATGGGGGACGCTGTGTGGAGACCAGAAATGGACCGCGTTGCGTTGCCTGCCCGGTTGGATATGGCGGGCCTCGTTGCCAGCAATCGACGCGAAGTTTTCGCGGCAACGGCTGGGCCTGGTATCCACCCCTACAGCTGTGCGGTGAATCTCATTTGAGTCTGGAGTTTATTACACGCGAACCGGATGGCCTCATACTCTATAATGGGCCGATTGTGCCGCCCAAGCTGGGTGAGCCGGTTATCAGTGACTTCATAGCCATTGAACTGGAACAGGGCTATCCGCGTCTCCTTATTGATTTTGGCTCCGGCACGCTGGAGTTGCGTGTGAAGACCAAAAAGACATTGGACGATGGCATCTGGCATCGCTTGGATGTCTTCTGGGATGCGGAAAATGTGCGTCTTGTCGTCGACTTTTGTCGCACTGCTCTGGTCTCTGAGCTGGAGGATGGCACGGCGCCCGAATTTGATGACAACGCGTGCCAGGCACGCGGACAAATACCACCGTTTGCGGAGACACTGAATCTGAATCAACCGCTGCAGCTGGGCGGCCTGTACAGGCAACACTTTGATCAGACGCTCTACAATTGGCAGTACGCATTCAGCTCGAAGGGATTCGATGGCTGTATTCGCAATGTGGTCCACAATTCGGAGCATTATGATTTGGCATTCCCGGCGCTGGCACGCAACAGTTTTCCCGCCTGCCCGCAAACGGATGAGGTGTGCCTGAAAACGGAGCACACAGCCAGATGCTGGGAGCATGGCAATTGTGTGGCCAGCTTGGTGCAGGCCAAGTGCCATTGTCAGCCGGGTTGGATGGGTGCCGGCTGCAATGTGCCCACTGTGCCGACCACCTTCAAGGCACAGAGCTATGTCAAGTTTGCGCTGAGCTTCGAACCGGATCGCTTCAGCACGCAGCTCCAATTGAGATTTCGCACCCGGGAACAGGCTGGCGAACTGTTTCGTGTCAGTGATCAGCATCAGCGTGAATATGCCATATTGGAGCTGCAACGTGGCCAGCTGCAGTTTCGCTACAATCTCAACTCGCTGCGGAATGAGGAACAGCTGCTGGCGCTGACAGCGGTCGCTGTCAATGATGGCCAGTGGCATGTGGTGCGAATTAGTCGGTATGGCTCGGCAGCGATTATGGAACTGGATGGTGGCGAGAGTCGGCGCTACAATGAGTCCTTTCACTACCAGGGACACCAGTGGCTAACCATTGACAAGCAGGAGGGCGTCTATGCGGGCGGCAAGGCGGAGTATACGGGCGTCAAAACGTTTGAGGTGCACTCGGACTTTCAAAGGAGCTGCCTCGATGACATCAGGTAGCCCCCCCCCAAACAACCAATCAACCCCATAATATAGTTGCCCCTTCCCCTCCCTGTGTCCTTTTGCTAATTATGCGCATTCAATTCTCTTTGTTGCATGCACGAAAGACTCGATGGCAAACATCTGCCACTGCCACCGGCAATGAATGGCACCCAATGGGGCCAGGCGACGATGGCCAGAAATGTTGAACGCAATTGCCCCTCGAATCGGCCCTGCTCCAATGTTATCTGCCCGGATCCCTTTGATTGTGTTGATTTGTGGAATGAATACGAGTGCACGTAAGTATGAATACCAACACCTGCAACACCTACATAACCTACAAACACCATTCAAAATGCCTTGTGGCCGCTCAACTTTGGCCAAACAGCAACAGCATTTAGGCAGCTGCCTAAATGCCAACTACCAAAAAGCGAATCTTTCTTTCAGCCATGCAATGTTCAATGCAATTGAGGTATTTTGCAGGAACTTTGTTTTTTTAGATAGCCAAAGCAAAACCAATGCGTATCTTCAACTTGCCTTGTTCCAATCTTCAAGTGCACTTTTGAGTCACAACTAACCAGGTCTTTTTTTGTATGCATCTCTATCAATTTCAAAATATCTTTAACAGACGAAAAATCTGTTTAAACTTAAAAATAGACCAGGCAAAATCTTAAGCAAACAGCATATTCTTAAATTAAATTAATTAATATTAACAAGATAATAATAATAATAAATAATAAAAAGTTATATATTTTAAGGCTTTAGTTACTAATCAGTTTTATAAAATTTAACTAGATTACATTAAGAGTAAACAGGACATTAAACATTTTATAAATTATGTATTTCCCTTACATTTTTAAGTCCCATATATCTAGACTATTTATCTATTTGAAAGCAGTTACAACTTCATCTATTCATTCAGACTATCAAAAACACATTTTTCATTCAAGATATTAAATTATCTTTACACTTTTAATAGTGAACAATTCATAAATTGATATTCGCAATAATGTTTTATTAGTGAGCTTTAATTTCATTTAAAATGTTTTTTTTTTATATTCCACATTTTTAATTGTTTGCTTATTTAAATTAAAGTAAATTCCTGTTAACAAAACAGTGTCTAATTAAAAAAACTGATGGCAAAACATTACTCTTAATTTTAATAGTAACTGCAGCTATCAACACCAAATAAGGGCAAAAAAGATGCAACCTTTAAACCTGTTTGTATTTGAGCATTCGCAACTGCAGCACAAAGTTCAAGGGAACGCATAAATATTTATGTTTGCATTTCAGTTGCTGCGCTTAGCTACACTTTGCAAAAAGGAGAACACATTCGAACGCAATGTGTGAAACACATCATTTTCACATTAACTGAAGCATAAACTTTAAGCCCCATCGCTGCCAGCAGGTGTGGTGCATTTGTGTATTCAGTTACAGCTACAGTTGCTGGTGCAACAGAGGGACGCACACTCAACGCCGCTCAACACTCAACAAATAGCAAATAATATCAATTGTCATCAGCATATCCTGACACATCTACACCCCAGATGGATGCACCGCAGAATATGCAACAAATTTATATATAAATATATCTATTTGCATGCTGGCCGGGTAGGGGAGGGGTGGGGAGGGAGGAGTGCTTAGCGAGATACTTCAGCAGTTTGTGGCAGCTGCCATTTGCAACACCTTCAACTGGATGCCATGCGAAGCTGCGACAAGCTGCACATTTTCCACATCATTAGTTTTGCCGAGTGACTCCATTTGAGTCACACTGAGCACAAACACACCCACACACACTGCTCCACTGCTCCACTCCTCACTCTCTATCTTTTTAACTTGCCATCTATGCAGTGGTGCATCATGACTTTTACTACGCCCCCCCAAACCCCGCCTTTCTCCCCTCTCTCACAGCTAACAGCCAACAGCCAACAGCAGCGTGCTCCATTTACTTTTGCCATTATATCAAGCAGTGGGAGGCAAAACGGCTGCTGTAAAATTTGCTCCCATTTTGTAAGTCGAATTGAAGAGTTGGACAGAGAAAGAGAAATAAGGAAAGGCGCTTTAAGCAAATTTAAATAATGCCACGCGGACACATCCTTCCATCTGAGCTCTTGAAGCTTATACATATATATATATATATATATATGTACTTGTCCAGGTGGCGATGTGCCATAAATTATGCCTGCTTTTTAGCCTCAATTCGAATTTCATTGTGCAGTGGCTGTTGAAATCGTGTCAGGCGCTGAAATATAATGTTGCGGCTTCCCCCTACTCACAATCTCTCTGCAACTCTGCAACTCTCTCTAGCTCCAGCAAGCACTTCGTAAGAAGACGAATTGACCCAAATTGCAAGTGTGTTGTAAAAGCAAAAGCGAGCGTGCAATTTAAAATATTTAAAAAGAACTTCAAGTGCTGACAATGTGCTCAATTTGCGTAAATGCAGCTGAACAAAAGCAGTTTAACAAGGCGGCAAGCTCTAAGCAAAATTTGGTTGTTCTCTCGATGTTCGCCTTAAGATTCAATTAGTTTCCTTGCTTTATCACATTTTGTATCCCAACTCTGTGTAATTTATTTGTGAAGCTGATGCTGGAAATCCACGTTAAATTCGCAACATTGTGAAATGCATCGAAAAATCAACAGCTACAGCAAAATTGCTTAAAAATTTGCGAGCTTGCTCATGAATAAGTGATTTCCGTGTGAAACTAGAAACTAATCCTTTGGAGAGAGAGAGAGCCTTTCGCCTAGCGGAACTAACGCGAGCCTAATGCGTTGCAAAGCTGCTGCACACACACACACACACACACACACACACTGAAGACACAAAGCGGTGGCTGCAACGGGGAATACATGCTACAACGGCTGCCACGAACTGACCAACTTTTTGGGTTGAAATAAAAAGTTGGACGCTTTTAAAAAGTTATGCACAACATGAATTTTACAACTGCCACTCTAAAACTCAACGCTACTCATCCCTTCTCTCTCTCTCTCCCGCTCTCTCTCTCCCTCACACACTCTCCCGTTTGCTCGCTAACGGTCTCATTAACTACACGTTAAAAAATTGAAGCTTTCAGTTAGTTTTAATTTTCTGAATTTAACTTTTTTAAATTATTATTGTGAAGTGTTCTTTGGAGCTGATTTTAAGTGAAATACTTGAATTTCAAAGAATTCGCTTAATGGAAAATGAAATAACAGCAAATAATGCTTTTATTTATAAATATTGTTCAATTTTGCATGTTTTTTTTGAGTTTTAGAAATTATTTCGCTGACTTTTACAAGCGAAATCAAAACAATACTTAAGCAAGCCAAAATTGTAGTCTAAAAAATTTACGAATCTTTACTTCAAGTTTTATTCAATCTAGAATGGAAAAACTTAAATAAAGAACTTACAAAAAGAGTCAAGAGTATATTTTTTTAAATAAGAATGTTTAAGATTAAGAATATTAACTTAAATTTAAGATCGACGATGGCAATCAAGACTGAGTTCGTTGAAATTGAGATAGATGATGAGAGCAATTTAACTTGAATCCAGTATTTTTTATTCTTAAATTAAGAATGTTAATGTAAGATTGACCAATTTCTAAAAAATCAAGAATATTTTCGAATTTTTGAATTGAAATGAGAAGTAAGAAAAGAACTTTAACTTAAACATTCTGCGCATTCTAAGCAAATTTAGATACGTTTTGCACATGGTTGTTTTTTTGGCGGTACATACAATTTTTCTGAGTGTACCAGTTTATCACACCTCTCGCTCTATCTCTATCTGTATCTTTATCGCTCTTCCTTCCGTTACAGTTGCAGCGAGGGACGCATTATGTCGGCGGACACGAAAGGCTGCGTCGATCGCAATGAATGCCTGGATATGCCCTGCCTGAACGGAGGCACTTGCATTAATTTGGAGCCGCGACTGCGATATCGTTGCATTTGCCCCGAGGGCTATTGGGGCGAGAACTGTGAATTGGTGCAGGAAGGACAGCGTCTGAAGCTTAGCATGGGCGCCCTGGGCGCCATATTCGTCTGCCTGATTATCATATTGAGTAAGTACTGTACGGTAGACTACACAGACGGACAGACAGACAGACAGAGGCCCCATGTAGAATCTCTGGCTCACTAAGCTGCTACAATTTGGCATTCATGTGTGTCAGCTTAAGCAGCTTAAGCCGCATTCGCAACCCTTTTTAACACGCCCCTCGCCGCCTCCAGCAGCTCTCCCTATGCAGGCAGAGCTCGTTGTTTCCGTTGTCGGGCTTTCCTACATGTAAATGCAATTTTCTGTAGGTTGGACGCGTTGCACTTAAATCCCAGCGCGACAAAAAATCCCCACACGAAGCAAGTGAAACAAATACGGGAAAAAATCAACGACATTCGCATATGTTTGCATAGGGGTTGTCAACGGCTTCTAGGGGTGCTTACTGTTGGGGGTGTGTGTGTGGGGGAGGGGTTGTCTCTCGTAAAATGGCACATTTCTTGTCTGGACATTTTGTTTTGTTAGCCAAATGGAAATGTCAGGCGGCTAATTAACAAGTGCACAAACGGAGAAAGAAAACACCATTAAGAGTAATCTTCTCACATTTTATTTTATGTTTTTTTATTTCTTTGCTTTGTTTTTAACTCGCAACACATTTGGTTGGCTTTGGTTGGACAGCACAAAAAATGAGAGAAAAATGGAAAAATAATTTAAATAAGCCGAACATTTGTTTTAAGTGTTTTATTGTATGCAATTGTATTGAAATTGGATTTGTCTTGGGCATACCAACCAAAGACAAAGACTAAAGGATTAATTTAGAAATAGAGCATGGAATTCTAAAACCCGCAAAATTTGTAGAAAAATGTTGTCTTCATTTCTTTAAGATCTGCATTTCAACTTTTAATTAAATATCTTTAAAAATTCCTTTCCATTAGAAGTACAAAATGCATTGTTTTTTAAATAGATAAATTCCATTCACTGAGCTAGAAAATGAGCAGAAAAAATGTTTGGTTTTTTAACATTTTTTGATTTAAAATTTGAATTCAACGAATTTTTATTTAATACATTTAACATGTATTTCACCAATTTTACTGACTAAATATTTTTGACAACATTTCAATTACATATGGATTATAAATTGATCATATATCAAGGCTATATAGATTACGCAAAAAGCAAAAAAATATCGCGTAAAAAACAGCTCTAACGCTTTTGTATTGTGCACGAAATTCAGTTAACAGTAACAATGCATTTTAGACTTTCTCTCTCTCTCTCTCTCTCTCTATCTATCTATCTATCTATCTTAGTCTCTTTGTCCATTCTAATCGGTATTTGGCCATTTGGTCGGATTTGGTTTTTACTTCGCAAAATTTTTATGTGATTTCAATTTGAGCTGAGAGTTGTGTGTGAGTGTGTGTGTGTGTGTGTGTGTGCGTGTGTGTGTGTGCTTTTTGCAACACTGCCACTTAATGGACTTTGCAGCGAGCGTAAAGTGGATTTGGTCATTTTCCAAATGTTCACTGCAGAAAGCGAGACAGAGAAATGTGAATGCCACGCAATGCACGGCAATTTATTTTCATTTGCTGGCAATTCGACGCCTTTTTAGGGATTTCAAAAAGGGATTTTCAATTAGCAGCCCTGGTTTTTTTTTTGCTCAATTTATTTAGTAGCTGTATTTAAAAGTGAAGCTGATTTATCCCTGGGCAACAGAATCGTGGCTAGTTTTAATGAGCGAAACGGATGTGGTTTAAAGTTGCAACAAAAGGCAGCAGTGACAGCAACAACAATAGCAAAAAAAAACCAGATAAAATAAAGAAACCTTAAGCTAATTAGTCGCTTCGGGGCCAGCTAATTACACAGTTGCCGTTTTGGGGCTAGCACAAAACACGCATACGCAGTGTTGGCCATAAAACCGCTAAGCCGCCAAATAGGCGCCATAAATAAACGCAAACGAATGTTGTCGCACAGCAGGAGAGAGTCCAAAAGAGAGTCCACCGTTTATGAAGTGAAAATTTCCACGAAACTGACAACAAGTCCGATTACTGTAGGCGTTTTATCTTGGCCATGGTTATTGTTGTTGTTGTTGTTGTTGCGTTAAAGTGGCGTAAAGACAACAAAACAAACTAAATAATTATCTAACATTATTTACAGTCAACGCTTTTGTGCCCATCTCCCACTCTCTCTCTCTCTCTCTCTCTCTCTCTCTCTCTCTCTCGCTCTGTCTCAAAATTATATCTGTGCTTAAGTCCTGTGTAATTTGAGAATCGCTGAACTGTATTTCGGGCATAAAATTTCAAGTGGACCTTCCAGTCCTTGGGCATGAAAGAAACTCACAACAACACAAAAAAAACTAAATTTAAAAAAAATGGAAAACTTTGCTAGCTGGCCCCGATGAGCTGCTACAGCAGAACAACTGACCTGACCTGGTCATGAAATAAAAAGAAAAAACCAATACAAATTCAACTAGAAAACCAAAAAAAAAAATAAAAACGATGTCCTTTTTTATGTATGTGTAGTGTAGTGTAGAGTAGCTCAGTGTAAACAAAGCAGACCAAAGAGCCGGACAGGCGTTGTTGCTTTATGGGAACATCACTCGGCTGTTGTTTTTTCTGCTCACAGTTTCTTCTGTTGTTGTTTTTGCAATTGCTGTTTATTTTTGAATATGGTTACTTACTCGCAGAGTGCACTGAGTGTGTGTGTGTGTGTGTGTGTGTGTGTGTGTGTTTGACCTAAATTGAGTAATTACTGCAAGAGAGAAGAGGAAAGCTTCACCTTAAGTTAAGGAAAACAAAATAGTTCGAGGCATGCATAGTAAATGGAGACTTACATAATTGTTTAAGGGCAAAGTAGAGCACAGAAATGTTGAAAAATTCTTGGCCAAAATTGGCTTTTATAACTAATTAGGTTTTAATTAATGGTGAAACATGTAGTACACGAAAACTTACACTCAAAGCCGAACAACAAATTGAATTTTGATTGATTTTCAAAAGCAATAACTTTAACAGTCATGGTTTGGTATCAAGATAAATATTGAGTTTAATTCACTATTTTTAGCAACGATTTTAAGCTGGAAATTCCTGCTCAAAAAAGTAACTTGGACTGCCTAAGCTTCGCTAAAACTGAAACGAAGAAAGCAATAAATTTGTAGTCATATAGTGGCCCCCATTCAAAAATTTAAATTACGATCTTTGCTCGAAATTATTATATATTTTCTGGCCACAAAAATCAACTCTGCGAGTCTTGCCAACTTTTCACAGGCAAAATCTGATTCTGATTCACTTTCGATTCAAGCATTCTTCTACTTTCATTTGCATTATCATTGGGTATCAATTACCCTTTGGTCCCCCTCTCCAAATGCGCAGCTTGCCCCAAGTGTCGTCTCGTCATTAAGGGGCATGCCGCATGCTGCTCCACTAACTGTTTTCGAACAAAGCTTTTTAAGTATTTTCGCCTGTTCTGTTCTGTTCTGTTCCCTTTTAACTGGCGTGTTAAAACGTACAATTGCGGAATAAATACCAAAAGGTAAATGTCGACAGCCAACTGTAAGTGGAAATGGTGACGGCGCCATAACAACAACTCCATTTACATTTAATGATGCCAATTAAATCGAAAGAAAAATGCTATTCCACTCCGCTTGTGGCACGGGAGAAGGACACTTGAAAAGATGAAACAAGATAGAAGCAAGGCTAACGAAAATATTTCAAGAAAAGTTGACATTGAAAAATATGAAAGAAAAAAATGCATTAATGAAAAAAAAATGTGGAAGTCGATATTATATACAAAAAAAATTGAAGAACGCTGAATAAGATAATAAATGAAAGTGTTTCAATCGGATCGATTTGGTGAAAACAAGAAGAAGTTAAGCAAATCTCAAATTTGTGAAGTAGATCAACTTGTGAGATAAATGGAATATGTTAGAAAGTAAATTCAAGTTTTGTTTTGATTTTTCTTGATTTAGAAAATACAAATAGAAACTTGGCAAAGTCAACTGTAAACTTGGTCTACAAAAAGTAAAATGGCAACTGTTAAATATTTTAAATGCAGAAAACAAACAGACTCAGAGATTGAGGAGGTAAACACAATAAGAGTTGTCTGTTTCTTATAGTATTCTGCACAGAATATCTGCAATTAAGAACAGCATTCACAGCACTTGATGTTCTCTTAATTTTTAAGTACTGAGAAGCTCACTTTCATGGCTATTATAAATGAACCTTGGCTGGTAGAGCAGCTGCCAGTTATTGCAGTCAAGCTAATGAATCCGGTAGAACAAAAAAATAAGCAAATAAAACAGAAGCAGCAGAAAAGGCGAGAGAAAGACTGAGACAAATCGAGACAGAGAGAGAGAGAGAGAGAGAGAGAGAGAGGGATGAGTTTTAATTATTTTTGGTTGACTGTCATGTTTGCTGAACCCGCCGACAACCAGTAAATATTGCTGTCAACCGGAGCACCAATGATAAACTGCACTTCCAACAACATTCAACCCCCTCGCACACCTCCCCCCTCCCACCACTCTCGTCCACTCCACAGCTTGTTTACACGAAAAACTGAGCGAACATATTGCAAGAGCATCATAAAACTTATTAATAACTTTATGCTTTCTGAGCAGAACTAAACTAAAGCCAAAAAAGAAAAGGGGAACTTAACAAGTTTTCTGCATTTGAAATGCTCGCGTTTCTTTTTGTTCTTTTTGGTACACTTAATCCGCTTAGCCTGCAATACATTCTCAACCCCCCACAACTACCCTGTTCATATAGAAATGCAGAGCATCCGATGTCGCCAAACCACCAAATACATGCGGATTTCGCAAGTGTTTGTCTATGACTACAAAACTAATGCTGTAACCAGTAACCAGTAACCAGTCTATCTTTCTCACACAAATAGTATGTGCCTCTCTCTCGCACACACACTCGTTGCGTCTCCTTCTGTGACTGCGTTGGTTGTGGCAAAGTTTAAGCTGAGAATTACAAGTAGTTGCAAGTTTGGGCCAGCAGCAATAGTTGATTACCAGTTCGGTTATAGCGTAAAGTGCATTTAACTTTTAACTTATCCAGCAAACGAACTTTTACACTTAATGTGCAAAGATTTCGGTTTCGTTATCTATTTTACAATAATCTTCACATTTTACAAACTACGCAAAGAAAAAAAAATAACATAAATTTATGATGCAAAGTTGGCTTAAAACTTAAATCCATAAAAGGCAAAATGTGGCAGAGAATAACCAGATTAACAAATGCAGAACATGATTCTCTACAAGCTATAAATTTCTTAAAGAATATTGCTAATAACAATCAAATCAAGCACAACTGGAAATTGGCGTTTGCAATACTAATTTAAAGTATCATTTATGCTATGCTTTTATCTATTTTTGTGGCAGTTCTCGCATTGATATTCGTGATATACAATCGCAAGCGCAAAACCACCAAAAAGAAGAAACGCTCCGGAACGGAAAAGGATGTGCGCGAAACGGTGATTAGCTACGAGGACGAGGGAGGCGGCGAGGACGATATGACGGCATTCGACATAACCCCACTTCAAATACCAATCAGTGCGCAGAGCGGCACAATGCCCCCGGACATAGCTGCCTGCAAGATGCCCATCATATGTGAGTAAATACACACAAGCACACACACACATGTGTGTATTATGTGTGTGTGTGGTGTGTGTTTAGCATTTATATTGAATATGGAGCACCAAGCACTGCGCACAATTTAAGCTGCATTTATAGCATGCCTTTGGTTAAATTCTATTTCATTACAAATTCAAAGCAGAGCAAAGCATTTTGGTTATAGTTCCAATTATATACAGAAAATACATTATATATATTAGCTCCGATAACTGGTTCTCAAAAATATATCCAATTTCCAGATGAAATCGATAACGTTGCAATTGTTGTTTCAGTTCCGGTTCGAAGGAACTAATTTTGTTGTCCACATATCATTTTAAATTAAAAAAAAATGACGATTTACAAATATTTTTACTCTCAATTTTAAATACTTTCGTAGCCAAACTTTAACTTGCAGACTTGCACTAACAATAAATAACCCACAACTGGTTCTTAAAAAATAAATGTAAAACTTCGATTGCGGTTCCGCTTCTGAAATTTAGTCAATAAATTTGCGGTTCCTGTTCCGGTTTGACACGTCGCCTCAAGGGAATTGATGTGGTTGCATACGCATACCCTTTGCTTTTTTGGTTTTAAAGTCCATTTCGAACATATTTCTGGCTTTCTGGAATAATATTAAGGCAAATGAAATATAATTCTTATTACACATTGACTACAGGCTTGTAGAAAGTTAACCTTAGCTGCTATTAACTGAATTATGTTTTCTATTAATAAACTATAAAGAAATATATATTTTGAAAGTAAAGTAATATTTTGAAGCCTATAAAGTTATAAAGCAAAAATAATAAAATTGAAAATATCATCGACGAGCATCAATCATTTTCCAATTGCTGTTTAGCAAAACTATGATTGCCCTAGCATAAAAATGTGTATTAAATTGAACGATATAAATTGCTTACTGTGCAGATCCGGTGATGACACTGCTGTCACCTGGCCAGGAGTTGAATGTGGCCTATCTGATGGAGGAGCGTAAGCAGCGCATCGACAAGGATCCCAATGCGCCGCCCTTCGATGACCTGCGAAATTTCACGTTCGAGGGCAGCGGCAGCATTGCCGAATCGCTCAGCTCGTTGGCATCAGGTACGAATATGACACACACACACACATATATACAAATACACAGTAGAAGGAGAAATACACTTCCTTTTTCACTATCCACTTGCCACTCTTCATTCCAATTGCAGGCACCGACGATGAGAATCAAGACTTTAACTATTTACAAAATTGGGGTCCACGTTTCAATGCCCTTGCCACGATGTACGTGCATGATAAAGCGAAAACCAAACAGCAGCAGCAGCAGCAGCAGCAGCAGCAGCAGCAGCAGCAGCAGCCTCCTCAAGTGGGCGTGGACAATGTCCTGGCAGTGGTTGCAACGGGCAGCGGTGCTGGACCTGGGGGTGGTGCAAGTAGCCTTGTTATTGCCCCCGCATCGGAAACCGGCAAAGTTGTATTATAAAAATAAATAAATTGTAGTTAAAAATGATGTTTCAGCTGTAAGCGTAATATTCCAGGATATAGAAATGAATGTGTGTGTGTGTGTGTGTGTATTCTGTAGATTGTGCAGCAATTTCAACTCAAAACTTAAGTATTCAATGTGTGTGTGTGTGTGTTTGAGTCAGCATTTGTGGCTGTTACTTTCGAATGAGAATGAATGGATGTGATTGCTTTGTGTGAGTGTTTGTGCGAGTGCATTTATATTTAGTTTAGCTAGTAAGCAACAAATATGGATTATACTGAAGCAGAGCATTTACGAGTACTGTCACTGCTCCATAGATATTCACATATAGCAAAATACCATTCAAACTACATACAACAAAATATAACTGCGTAAACCAAATATTTCTACACAACTTTCCAACAACTTTTTATCATTTGTGAATTTTTTTGAATTTTCAAAATGCTCTTCGCAGTTTTTTACTTTTTACAAAGACTGTCATAACAAATTCTAATCGAAATATTTAAAGAGCAATTTATATTTCATTGTAGAAAACTTTATCTTATGCATATTTCTTTTGAATTGGAAACAGAAACAATTTTTTAATAATTCTTTTTAGAAATTTCCTATATTTTTTGTTTTACTATAATATATTTATTTGAATTCCTTTTCAATTAAATTTGAATTCAATGCTGCAGTTCCATTTGTCTCGACTGTAAACTACACATGATCTTTCTTTCGTTCGGTCATCTCGCATATTTCTGTCAATTTCCACAGAAACATTTTCACGTGAACCAACTCAAAAAAAAAACAAAAAAAGATCAACTAAAAACATAGTTAAAGAAATAAAGAGAATGAGTATAATTAGGCATGCTGCGATGCAACTATGTCAACGAGTTTCTAAAACTTGATGCGCAGCTAGTTAAACACTCTGTAAAATATACCGCATTAACTTTAGCACGTAAGTTGCAGCTATCCACCCCCTCCACCCCCCTTTCAACCCCTTTAAAACCTAATCCTAAACCGTAGCTGGCATTCAGTTGGAGCAATTAAGAAATTACAGCTGTGTATTTTAGCTGCTGCGGAGTGTTAACTCCGGCACGTGTTAAATTGTGAACCGATTTCACACCTGAAACCTGTGAAAGCTGTCTACAGTCCTCCCACATTCTTCTCCCCTCCCCCCACTAATGTGGCCCGAAAAGTTGTCTGTTGCAGCCGGCGGTGGCAACAAAACTTTTGGTGAAATTTCAAACAAAAACCTAAATGAAAAAAAAAAAACATACAAAAGAGAAAAAAAAGCAACTAGCAACTGAAAAAAAGTACTGTAACATAATTTTGTAAATATTAAATTGTGTAATTTTAATATTAAATTATGAGCCAAGTAAAACGGCAATTAAACGAAATGAAAAGGAAAAAAAAGAAAAACAAAATAATTAAGGAAATAATGGAACACACAACAGCAAACACATAACTACTAGACTAATTGACTACAATTAAATTTAAATTAAATTAAATTTAAATTTAATTAACGCCCAGTTGATCAACCAATTTCATATTTCTGCATTTACTAGCAAATACACATGGTAAACAACAAACAACAAACAACAAAACAAACACAAATCAAAATATGAAAACACATATAAAATTCGATAACAAAAAAAAAGAAAAAGAAAAACGAAAAAATTATTATTATAATAATAATAATATTGTATCTTGTATTAAATGAACTTAAAATAAAAACAAATAAAAACAAAAATCATGAAAATGGCGAATACAAAATGTTAATTAAATTTACGTTAGTTAATGGACAATTTGTTAGTAGCTAGCATTTAAGCATAATTTTTTAAAAATCAATAAACCCCCCAGAAAAACAATAAAACGGAATACGCAAAACATTCGCATTCAATGGGAGCCAATTAACTACATACCTACCCCAACCCCCCCAGTTCCCACCCCTCAGCCTGTCAGCGCCTAACGATCCTTGAATCCATCCACCAGAATCTGGTTACAATTTCCGGACTAAAACCAAACCAACTTTAAAATCGCGTTAAGCTTAAAGGTGCCAAAAAGGTTCACAGAATGTGGTAAGCATCAGGCGAGTTTCAGTAATTGATGGACCTAATAAATACCCTATAAATACCCTATACAGCTCATTTTTGGCTTTCATTTTATATACATTTGTTGTAGCTTTGAATAGTTTGAACTAAGCAAATATATTTATGAATAGATTTAGCTTGTAGGACTTATGAAGACTGCTTGGCTCAAAGTCTTCTCCAATATAATATAATATTTACAGAGTTGATATACCCCATAAGAAATGGCTTAAAAGCAGGTGTTGGAAACAGAATAGAAAACTTTCAGCGCCTGCCAAGCCTGAAAAATCCAATGGAGCATGCGACAGGCGACAGAGCAAACATGTAATGCGTTTTATGCCACAAAGAAGGACGAAGGGATGATGGGATCATGAGGAGCAGTGCCAGCAGTCCCACGCCTACCTCTTCTGCCCTACAACAACTGGATTTTAAACTTCATTGCGCACACACATGCTGAACACAATCATCAATCTTGATTTTGGCAAATAAAGAAAGTTGTAGTTGAACAAACGAAATCTGTTTTATTCACAAGGCAGAAATACTTTTATTTCAGAGAATTCGATTACCACTTATAGCAAAAGTACGTTTCTTTACAGCCAAGCTCTCAAGTTCTAAAAGATCTCGAAAGAATGTATTTTTTTGAGCTCAGAGGTATCAGTTTGCATTCAACGATTTCTTGGATCTGATAAAAAAAATGTGTCCAAAATTGACGATATCTGAAAAATTGAGAAAAATCGATCAAATCGTTGTCTTCATGGCAAGTAAGAGGACCATTTAGTTGACATTTAGTTGACAACCAATTTGCATTTGCATTGATAAAGATACAAAGATACAATTTTCAGAATACATATCACACTTCGCAACAAAATTATAATTGCTACATAAAAATATAAAAAGGCAGCAAAGAAAGATAATATTAGGTAAGCCGAATATTAGATACCCTGGCTGAGCTGCTGGCATCCCATTTCCAGTAAAACTTAAACAAAATACTGATTGTTCCTATATAAGTTGGCTATATGTTAGAGCAGTCTGATGTTGTCCAAATTTTCGATTTGATTCATGGAAAAAGAGTGATTTTCAAGCAAGAAGTCTTCTTTCGAGTGATTGTCTTCATGTCAGGCATAATACGAGTATATATACTTGTACGATCCGATTATCCTCTACACATGTGTGCTACCTGCACTAATTATATATATCATTTATAAGGTCTACAAAGTCTGCTTTATTTCGTTACACACTTCACTCAAAAATAATGATACCCTTTTCAGCCAGCCATTTGTTGTTCTTGTTGTTGTTGTTGTGAAAAGCTTATAGTCATAAAAAAGGACCAACCTGACCTTTGAGGATTGGCGGCCGTCTGGCAGTGTCGTCGTCCTCATAGTCCTTATCGTCGTCGCCGTGCCTCGCACCCACCCCTGGAATTTGGTGATTTGCTTCGATAACATTTTTTATACATTTTTTTTCTTGTCGCATAATAAATGAGGCAGCTTTATGCTATCCATATGAAATACGAGAATTGAGTGGACGAAAATTTGTTGATCAAATTGATAGCCTCAATTAGTTTAAAGATAACACGAATTGGAAGCGGGCCAAAAGGGGGCCTGGGAAAGCGAGGGGGGGGGGATTATGTGAGTGCCTTTTGGGCAAAACATAATTCTGGAAATTTGTTGGCCCAGCTTATGCATATGTGGAACAAATTATAAATAAGATTTTGCTTAAGGCAAATTTATGGTTGCAAAAGCTGCAAAAGAACTTCAAATATATTTGGCTTAAAATTGCGAATTGATTTTTAACTTTCAGTGTTGATTAATGGCTTTTTAGTGGGGTGTTAAACGGGAATTGAAACCGGAAACTGACTTTACCGATTGATGTTCAGCAGAAATTTAACATTATAAAAAAGTGTTGAATTGATTTATAATATTTACGGGAATCTAAAGTTATATCTTCACTCGACTATTTTATGAACGATCTACTTAAGATTGGGCTATTAAAATGTTCATTTTTCTGAGTGTAAATAGATATTAATCTTTTCAAGATTAATGTTGTTAATAAGCAAAATTTTTTGTTTATTTTGTTAGTTATTTAAATTGTTTATTTGAAGCAAGCACAATATTAACTGAAATAGTATTTAAGCCACAACATTTAATATTTAATAATAATTCTTTAATTAATAATTTATTTAATTTGATTACTTTTGCGGGGATTATTTTAGCCATATTCTTTCATTAATTGCACATGTTAAATTCTTTTCGATTTTATTCTATAATTTCAACTGGATAAATTGAGAAATCCCATTTGAGAAGTGCCTCCAAATAGGGAACCCAATTAAATTAGATAGTTGTTGGTGACTTAGATTTAGTCACGTTGGCAACCGGCAAAAGGATTCAGCTGCAAATTGCACACAAGTGTTGTTGTGTGGTAAGGGGTGAGAGGGTTGAGGGGGAGGGGGGGACTGGTGCAGTGCAGTTGGCAAAGCTGCTAATTGATGCTCGCTAACAATGCCAGCTTACAACTGCAGCTGAGTCCCCATAAACAACAACAGCAACAACAAATAAAATTTGGATATTGCAAACCACAATCAAGTCAAGCCACAAGCCAAGTGGCTAAAAGCAGTGAATTAATTTATGACATCTAATGCAGTGTGTACACACTGATTTAGACGCCATTGCTGTTGTTGTTGCAAGTGTTGCATGTGTTGCATGTGCTGCTTGCAGTTTGATTCATTTGCTGTTGCAGCTTAAGCTTGAGCCGAACGAGGCCAGCTTGAAAAGTAACAAACGAAACTAAGCATAAAAGTAATCGATATGTCGATGTGTGTTATCGATCATAAGCAGTACATTGTCTATCGATAAAGTTACAGATTTTCAAGTATAGATTTGGTATCACATTTCTGGGCCACACTTAAAGATTCATCCAGCTATCTATGTCTCTGAAGAGTTTATGAAAACCCTTAAC